AGTTTGTTGTTACCACGATGCTTTTTGAAGCCACAGATTAAACAAGACGACCACTTTATTGATTTGACAGATCTAGGTATGATAATGTCAGTGAATCATCATGCTTGACGTTTATGATGCGACGCAATACTCCATCTTGACGACTGTGTGCAGCTGAGACTACACTTTTTGAACCATGGATTGTTCCCAATGTGATGTCCCCGTCCTTTAGCCCACAAATCAGACACTGTTCGTGTACATCATTAAAATAGAACTTAGATTTTTTCTTACTGGTGCCAGCTTTAGAGGGCTGGGGTTGCTTGAATTGCAAGGTTCCTTCATTAATCTGTAAATAAATCATAAGTCTTTGCTTGTGTTTTTCTTACAGAAAATATTCAACTTGCTTTCTTTGTGTTTTCTGCTATAAGAACGTGTAAACCGACAGACGCCTTTGTAATCATTATTAGCGAGGAGGAAAGCAGTATTAACCTTTGGCAGTGCGGCACGGTGTACGCCGTGTCTAGGCCTAATTCATACCACTAGCACTCTTGTTTTTGGTCTTATTAAATCAGAAAAAAAAAAATATTACACAACGTTTGTCGTCATTACGATCATTTAGCCAAAATATTCAATTTATCCTACTATTTAATACAGATACACATGGCAAGTGGCACGCTGCTATCAATGAAATGTATGGGTCGGCGTTTCCCGAAGCATATTCACTGTATATTTTAATAAATCTTTATAATTTGAATTTATATTCGCTACAATACCAACGTTAACAGTGTGATATGTCTTGCATGAGCAGTATTTTTCTCATTAATTATTTCCTGTGACCATTGTGCGTTTGTTTACGTTTAGTGCCAACAAGGGAGATCACTCCCAGCTGAGGATGTATGGACAACTACTTTTATATATACAGACATGTCGGCGTTTTCCGATGCATATTTTGTTCCAAATTTCTAGATTAACGTCCATGTGAAATTCATTACGACAAATTTATTTTGATTCTACATACATTAAACTTTACCAAAATGTATACAAAAGGTATACCTCTTTCAGGGGCATAATAATATAGGTTTCAATGGGAAATCCGGGAACGTTTGCTCGGCTACTAGCCTGTATCAAAGTCTGGTACAGCTTTACACTTCAGGGAATAAGCGTTTGCAGTTGTAAAATAATCTCTCTGTACCATCAACTTGCTGCCCCCAACCTCCTGCAGGTCTCCAACCATCCGTGCCAAGCCTGCCCCCGCAGTAAGCCATATGATTACTGTTGACTGATGAGCCAAGGGAAGGTCCCCTTTGTCCAGCTATGTTGTGCCTGCGAATCATCTTCCCGAGGCAAGAGAGTTAACTGACTTTAAAAGTCCAGTTTCCACCCTTGCCGAACTAGGCTGGAATTCCTGGGCTCGATCGTAGCGCCACCAGTGGCTATTACGAGTTATGCCCCTTCTATACCTCTCCTATGGACCAATCAGATTCCACCTCTCGTATAACTTGCATTTGCTTCAAACAAAACGGCGGCGCCCAGTCCAGATGATATGATCGATAATCAAGATCTATATTGTGATAAAACGAGTCTTACATCGCAAAGTGCATCAAATCACGTGAGCACCTTGATTAAAAACATGAAAAGATTTAGAAAATATCTGTTGACGATTTGGCGGTGCACATGCTTTGCAAATCCTGCAGTCGACCGAAATCTGCATGACAGTTTACGAACCAGATTTCAATTTCGGTCCGCGATTTTGATTTGACTATACATAGACTCGCCAGTACAGACAAAATGTAACTACATTTTACAAGCCTAGTTCGGCAAGGGTGGAAACTGGACTTTTATAGTCAGTTAACCACTTGCCTCGGGAAGATGGTTGCGAATGAGTAGCCTTGCTAAGGCTTTAAACATTTTTTTTAACAAAGTAGCAAACTTTGATATGTAACTGCAAATATAATTCATAAGGGTGATAATTTATGGATGTCAACTTCTTTATAATGAGGAACACAACGTTTCTGAGTATATGCTTACTCCTTCATCAGGTGAAAGAATGCTATGAGGCAGATGGCATATATATGTGCATGTAAGAACAACAAGATCACAAAAGGTGGACACTTTACAAAGGAAGCTAACAGATAATTGACGCTGATGGGTGATAATGTCTTCTTGTTCTTACATGTACATATATATGCTCTCTGACATAGCATGTGACAATTTTACTTGTCATCTTTCCTCTCCATTTTGCTCTTGATGTGGTTGCTAACGTACACACAATTCCTCCATTATCAACGATCATACCGCCTCATCACTGCTCGTATAGTGTGTTTGTTTTGACTGGACCCAAGCCGTAAAACTGCACTAAATAGACATTACATATCTGTACCACCTGTGCCGACAGCGACCAACAGCCTAAATTAACGGTTAAAATTGTAAAATCATAATGTCTGTCACGGCCCCTATGCTTAAAATTCAGTGTGCAGATATCAGAGACGCTATTGTTAGGATGTTCCATGGAAGGTTTGAAACTTAGAATGAGGTGAGCTAACAGGATGTTAAGTACATATATTATTAAATCCAATCGGCAATCAGGTATCAAGGTTGCAGGCTCGTACATGGTTCCGGATGTAGAATCCGGCCAACAAGAAATATAACTTTCAACTTAAAACCTTACCTCCCTGGCTTCAAATCTGTTTCATCAAGTAAATATTATTTCATCCCAAATTTGCACATGTAATAAGTTAGATCTGAATGAGAAGTAGATTATTTTCTATACAAGTTTATGTTGGTTTTTGTTTGTTTGTTTGATGTTTAACGCCGCACTCAGCAATATTCAAACTATATGACGATGGTCTGTAAATAATCGAGTCTGAGCCAGACGATTCAGTGATTGATATCATGAACATCGATCCACGGAATTGGGATACGATGACATACATCAACCAAGTCAGCGAGCCTGACCACCCAATCCCGTTTGTCGCCTTTTACGGCAAGAATAGGTTACTGAAGACCTATTCTAACCCGGAAGATGACTGAGATGGTTTTATCAACTGAGGAGGCAGGAGATTGAACAACCAACCTTCTGCTCTCCAGGGTGACGCTCGACTATCGATATGGTCTACATGACAACTATACCGAGGGACAAGTATTCCTTGCAAAGTGTTATGTAACATATACACCTCGTCAAAAGTATCGCACCACCAACATTTTTGGATATTGAGATAAGGGATGGGTTGGGAGAAGCTGGAAAGGGAACAAAAGCAATCAAAAGTGTTACTTAATGTGAAGTCAAATGTTATTTTATGAACAAAAGGAAAAAAATAGCATTTGCAAAGAAAAGAAGCAACTTTATTAACCAGCGACTACAAGGACTGTAATAGTTGCAGTAAGGTATGGTAACTGTCAGGAATGAGTGAGTGAGTGAGTCGGGTTTAACGCCGCTTTTAACAGTATTCCAGCTATATGTGGGAGGAAAGGCCGAAGTGATGCAGGCCTCAGACGTTTAGCACTTTGGTGAAACCCACAAGCACAAACCTAGAAACATATATATATTAGTTATATCACAGCATGCCAGCTTAATGTGGGAGGAAAACCCCAAGTGATGCAGGCCTCAGACTTTTACCACTTCCGTGAAACCCACGAGCACAGGGATGGTGCTGACAAACCTAGAAACATAATCGGGGTGAACCAGGATTTGAACCCACAATCATAGGTTTCTGGCGTGCCCAAGGGATGCAACTCTGCACAGCGAATGGCGGCGCCTTAGACGACTGGGCTACCCGTGCCCCCCTGTCAGGAATGAGATGGACAGATCAACATGTACGTGTCTTAGTAACATTGTACCCATGTCACAGTTAAATGATCAACAGTGTAAGTCAGCACCTGGTGTAGCCACTGTATAGGGATGTGTTGCCACTGCTGATGCAATGCCTGGGCAAATTCTGGGAGATGCTGTACTGGAGGGTCCCTGGCTGAAACCCTACGTCCCAACTGACATAGATACTCAATGGCGTTGTTCTGGAGATTTGCCACAGGTCGTCCTCGGTGGGTCTGGCCCGTTGTCCATGAAGACAAGACGTGTAGTAAATGAATGTTTATCAAGATGAGGCACAACAAAACCATCCAATATGCTATCTTGGTACCTTTGTCCATTTAATGTCCCCTGAATTGTGAACAAATCAAGTTCATAATCAAAGAAGCAACATCCCCATACCATCAATGAGCCGTCACCACACGCCACTGTTTCCTTGATTTTCTTGGATAGAACGCTATGTCATTTCAGGTGCAATCGTTCCAAAGACAGACTTTCAAGTTGGTAGAACTTTCTACCAAAACACTAGCAGTAAAGATGCATGCACTTTCTGTCATCAAACCTGATTTTCTCTACAGCATACAGCTCTCATAAACACACCAACAAGGTCGGGCAGTTAAAGTGGCTACCATTCTACAGGCAGATGATGTGTCAATACACAGTGTACCCTTTGAAAATCCCTACAAAGAAAAGAACTTGCAATTACACTTCAAATTTGGAGGTGCAGTACTTTTGACAAGGTGTATATTTGATATTTCAGTTGAGAACACTTGAAAAGTACTGATGAGTTTCCGGAAGTTTTTCTTTGATGTTCATTTCTGTGCCTCGTCCATGTTCTCCCCCCATGGGGTACCGGGTTGGAATTAGGCCCCAGATTGGCTGATCAGACTCGATGACATGGTTCATAACATGTCATTGTACTCCAATTGTCAGGAGCCCGTGAAGATCCGGGGTAGAATAGGTTTTCAGGAACCCATGATTGCCGTAAAAGGCGACTAACGGGATCTGGTGGTCAGGCTCACTGACTTGGTTGAAGCATGTTATCAATCCGAATTGCGTGGATTAAAGCTCATGATATCAATCAGTGGATTGTCTGGTCCAGACTTGATTATTTACAGGATGTCTAATTTCTCTTAGTGCATCATATCTAGATAAAGGACAGTCTCAATCTATGCCTGATATAAAAAGAACTAGTCAGGGTTTTTTCTATGATTAAAAACTTAGTGCCATTTTGACTAGAAATCCATTTTGACTGGACTTAATTCAGAGCTACCTGGTATCTTTAACATTAATTACGACTATAACATGAATTGCACATTTGGAGCAGGTTCCCAGATTTAACACAGCATCAATGATATCAGTCACACATTTGGAGCAGGCTCCGAGATTTAACACAGCATCAATGATATCAGTCACACATTTGGAGCAGGTTCCCAGATTTAACACAGCATCAATGATATCAGTCACACATTTGGAGCAGGCTCCCAGATTTAACACAGCATCAATGATATCAATCACACATTTGGAGCAGGTTCCCAGATTTAACACAGCATCAATGATATCAATCACACATTTGGAGCAGGTTCCCAGATTTAACACAGCATCAATGATATCAATCACTCATTTGAAGCAGGTTCCCAGATATAATACAGCATCAATGATATCAGTCACACATTTGAAGTAGGTTCCCAGATATAACAAGGCATCAATGATATCAATCACACATTTGGAGCAGGTTCCCAGATTTAACACCGCATCAATGATATCAGTCACACATTTGGAGCAGGCTCCCAGATTTAACACAGCATCAATGATATCAATCACACATTTGAAGCATGTTCTCAGTTTTAACACAGCATCAATGATATCAATCACACATTTGGAGCAGGTTCCCAGATTTAACACAGCATCAATGATATCAATCACACATTTGGAGCAGGTTCCCAGATTTAACACAGCATCAATGATATCAATCACACATTTGGAGCAGGTTCCCAGATTTAACAAGGCATCAATGATATCAATCACACATTTGAAGCATGTTCTCAGTTTTAACACAGCATCAATGATATCAATCACACATTTGGAGCAGGTTCCCAGATTTAACACAGCATCAATGATATCAATCACACATTTAAAGCAGGTTCCCAGATATAATACAGCATCAATGATATGAATCACACATTTGGAGCCGGTTCCCAGATTTAACAAGGCATCAATGATATCAATCACACATTTGGAGCAGGTTGCCAGACTTAACACAGCATCAATGATATCAATCACACATTTGGAGCAGGTTCCCAGATTTAACACAGCATCAATGATATCAATCACACATTTGGAGCAGGTTCCCAGATTTAACACAGCATCAATGATATCAATCACACATTTGGAGCAGGTTCCCAGATTTAACAAGGCATCAATGATATCAATCACACATTTGAAGCATGTTCTCAGTTTTAACACAGCATCAATGATATCAATCACACATTTGGAGCATGTTCTCAGTTTTAACACAGCATCAATGATATCAATCACACATTTGGAGCAGGTTCCCAGATTTAACACAGCATCAATGATATCAATCACACATTTGGAGCAGGTTCCCAGATTTAACAAGGCATCAATGATATCAATCACACATTTGAAGCATGTTCTCAGTTTTAACACAGCATCAATGATATCAATCACACATTTGAAGCATGTTCTCAGTTTTAACACAGCATCAATGATATCAATCACACATTTGGAGCAGGTTCCCAGATTTAACACAGCATCAATGATATCAATCACACATTTGGAGCAGGTTCCCAGATATAATACAGCATCAATGATATCAATCACACATTTGGAGCAGGTTCCCAGATTTAACACAGCATCAATGATATTAATCACACATTTGGAGCAGGTTCCCAGATTTAACACAGCATCAATGATATCAATCACACATTTGGAGCAGGCTCCCAGATTTAACACAGCATCAATGATATCAATCACACATTTGAAGCATGTTCTCAGTTTTAACACAGCATCAATGATATCAATCACACATTTGGAGCAGGTTCCCAGATTTAACACAGCATCAATGATATCAATCACACATTTGAAGCAGGTTCCCAGATATAACACAGCATCAATGATATCAATCACACATTTAGAGCCGGTTCCCAGATTTAACAAGGCATCAATGATATCAATCACACATTTGAAGCATGTTCTCAGTTTTAACACAGCATCAATGATATCAATCACACATTTGGAGCAGGTTCCCATATTTAACACAGCATCAATGATATGAATCACACATTTGAAGCAGGTTCCCAGATATAATACAGCATCAATGATATGAATCACACATTTGGAGCATGTTCTCAGTTTTAACACAGCATCAATGATATCAATCACACATTTGGAGCAGGTTCCCAGATTTAACACAGCATCAATGATATCAATCACACATTTGGAGCAGGTTCCCAGATTTAACACAGCATCAATGATATCAATCACACATTTGAAGCAGGTTCCTAGATATAACACAGCATCAATGATATCAATCACACATTTGGAGCAGGTTCCCAGATTTAACACAGCATCAATGATATCAATCACACATTTGAAGCAGGTTCCCAGATATAATACAGCATCAATGATATCAATCACACATTTGGAGCAGGTTCCCAGATTTAACATTGCCTGTACAGTTTTAACACCGCAGTGCTGATCACACACTTTGATTTCATCAGTCACAATGACATCACAAACACTCTGTCATGCTTCGCACACATCCGTCCAACACAAGCTCCGAGGTCATCTGGTCCTGGCTGCAGAGGCCCTGGAGGTTCATCAGGAGCTGATTCAGGGGACTCCGCTGGGCTGCTGAAGATGTGGCCGTGGCGGAAGCCAGCATCTGTTGGATGTCCTGTGTATGGAAACAGAGTCTTCTTCTCAGCAGCTTTATTATCTTCTCAATGGAGGTCACCATCTTATCGTCACTCTGAGGAGAAAAGCATGATTCACACTTGATGCATGAAATCTAAATAACATGAATAGTGGGTATAGACTTGGCTCCCCAGCAGTCACATTTCATTGACATCCCACAATGACAGTTTCTTGGTCTGGTAGAACAAGTCTCGTGATAAATGTTATATCTGGGATAACATTTTCCGAAATCTAGTACTTTTTGGGGTTGAGTCCCATCCGGGATTCGAACTCACACTGTTATCCCAGATATAACATTTGTTACATTTGACCACTTTCTAAATGGCATTGTGTGTTCATAGCTTTTGGTCATGGGAGCTGTGTGGGACTGTATTTGACCAGTAGACAATGTTAGCATGTGACCGTCGCACAGGGCTTGTCCGCTTGTAGTGGCAGCATGTGCAGGGCGAGAAAGAAGTGAAGAAACACTTGTCCTACTGCATATATCAATATCAAGGCTTGCCAAGGAATTTTTCCACTTTTAACAACGAAGGTTGACATATTTGATATCGAAAGACACAAGGGTGAGATTTTATTTATCATCCAACATCATTCTTCCAACTTTTACAGTTTCAATGGTCTGCAAAGCATTGTGATGCAATTTCAATGTAGATATCACTTGATCTCACCCAAGCGATATCTCCGGTGGGAGCCAGTTTTGGATGATAAAGTGGACACTAGACCCGAGTGTTGTCTCCCTTTAACGTGAAGTTCACACAAATTCGTCTTTTTCTATTGGACAAGAAACTGCAAACCTATATTCTTAACGGTATGAATGACAATTCTAGAAATTACAAACACTGGACTACTTTCCTACTTGGGAAAACTTTCAGAATCCCCTAGCATGAATAAATACAGAAACCTGACAGACTGAATCTTGTACTTCTTTAGGAAATGTCTTGTCTGTGGTAGACTATGTCCGCACTGCGACCCACCATAGCCAACACAACAAGGGAATAGCACTGGAGCGGGTAGCTCGGGAAGGTGGGTAGCTCGGGTAGCTCGGGGAAGGTGGGTAGCTCAGTAAGGTGGGTAGCTCGGGTAGCTCAGGAAGGTGGGTAGCTCAGTAAGGTGGGTAGCTCTGGTAGCTCAGGAAGGTGGGTAGCTCAGTAAGGTGGGTAGCTCTGGTAGCTCAGGAAGGTGGGTAGCTCAGTAAGGTGGGTAGCTCTGGTAGCTCAGGAAGGTGGGTAGCTCGGGAAGGTGGGTAGCTCAGTAAGGTGGGTAGCTCGGGTAGCTCAGGAAGGTGGGTAGCCCGGGAAGGTGGGTAGCTCGGGTAGCTAGGGAAGGTGGGTAGCTAGGGAAGGTGGGTAGCCCGGGAAGGTGGGTAGCTAGGGAAGGTGGGTAGCTAGGGAAGGTGGGTAGCTAGGGAAGGTGGGTAGCTAGGGAAGGTGGGTAGCTAGGGAACACAACAAGGGAATAGCACTGGAGCGGGTAGCTCGGGAAGGTGGGTAGCTCGGTAAGGAGGGTAGCTCAGGAAGGTGGGTAGCTCGGGTAGCTCGGGAAGGTGGGTAGCTCGGGTAGCTAGGGAAGGTGGGTAGCCCGGGAAGGTGGGTAGCTCGGGAAGATGGGTAGCTCGGGAAGGCGGGTAGCTCGGGAAGGTGGGTAGCTCGGGAAGGTGGGTAGCTCGGGAAGGTGGGTAGCCCGGGAAGGTGGGTAGCTCGGGAAGGTGGGTAGCTCGGGAAGATGGGTAGCTCAGGAAGGTGGGTAGCCCGGGAAGGTGGGTAGCTAGGGAAGGTGGGTAGCTAGGGAAGGTGGGTAGCTAGGGAACACAACAAGGGAATAGCACTGGAGCGGGTAGCTCGGGAAGGTGGGTAGCTCGGTAAGGAGGGTAGCTCAGGAAGGTGGGTAGCTCGGGTAGCTCGGGAAGGTGGGTAGCTCGGGTAGCTAGGGAAGGTGGGTAGCCCGGGAAGGTGGGTAGCTCGGGAAGATGGGTAGCTCGGGAAGGCGGGTAGCTCGGGAAGGTGGGTAGCTCGGGAAGGTGGGTAGCTCGGGAAGGTGGGTAGCCCGGGAAGGTGGGTAGCTCGGGAAGGTGGGTAGCTCGGGAAGATGGGTAGCTCGGGAAGGTGGGTAGCCCGGGAAGGTGGGTAGCCCGGGAAGGTGGGTAGCTCGGGAAGATGGGTAGCTCGGGTAGCTAGGGAAGGTGGGTAGCCCGGGAAGGTGGGTAGCTCGGGTAGCTAGGGAAGGTGGGTAGCCCGGGAAGGTGGGTAGCTAGGGAAGGTGGGTAGCTCGGGAAGGTGGGTAGCTAGGGAAGTAGGTAGCTAGGGAAGGTGGGTAGCTAGGGAAGGTGGGTAGCCCGGGAAGGTGGGTAGCTAGGGAAGGTGGGTAGCTAGGGAAGGTGGGTAGCTCAGGAAGGTGGGTAGCTCGGGAAGGTGGGTAGCTCAGGAAGGTGGGTAGCTCGGTAAGGTGGGTAGTTCGGGTAGTTCGGGTAGCTCGGGTAGCTCGGTAAGGTGGGTAGCTCGGGTAGCTCAGGAAGGTGGGTAGCTCGGGTAGCTCGGGTAGCTCGGGGAGGTGGGTAGCTCGGGTAGCTCGGGAAGATGGGTAGCTTGGGTAGCTTTGGAAGGTGGCTAGCTCGGGTAGCTCAGGAAGGTGGGTAGCCCGGGAAGGTGGGTAGCTCGGGAAGATGGGTAGCTCGGGTAGCTTGGGAAGGTGGGTAGCTCGGGTAGCTAGGGAAGGTGGGTAGCTCGGGAAGGTGGGTAGCTCAGGAAGGTGGGTAGCTCGGGTGGCTCAGGAAGGTGGGTAGGTCGGGTAGCTCAGAAAGGTGGGTAGCTCTGGAAGGTGGGTAGCTCAGGAAGGTGGGTAGCTCAGGAAGGTGGATAGCTCGGGAAGGTGGGTAGCTCGGGAAGGTGGGTAGCACGGGTAGCTCAGGAAGGTGGGTAGCTCGGGTAGCTCAGGAAGGTGGGTAGCTCGGGAAGGTGGGTAGCTCGGGAAGGTGGGTAGCTCAGGAAGGTGGGTAGCTTGGGTAGCTCGGGTAGCTCGGGAAGGTGGGTAGCTCAGTAAGGTGGGTAGCATGGGTAGCGCAGGAAGGTAGGTAGCTCGGGAAGATGGGTAGCTCGGGTAGCTCGGGTAGCTCAGGAAGGTGGGTAGCTCGGGAAGGTTGGTAGCTCTGGTAGGTGGGTAGCTCGGGAAGGTGGGTAGCTCGGGAAGGTGGGTAGCTCGGGAAGGTGGGTAGCTCGGGTAGCATGGGAAGGTGGGTAGCTCGGGAAGGTGGGTAGCTTGGGAAGATGGGTAGCTCGGGAAGGTGAGTAGCTCAGGTAGCCTGGGAAGGTGGGTAGCCCGGGAAGGTGGGTAGCTAGGGAAGGTGGGTAGCTCGGGAAGGTGGGTAGCTCGGGAAGGTGGGTAGCTCGAGAAGGTGGGTAGCTCGGGAAGGTGGGTAGCTCAGGAAGGTGGGTAGCTTGGGTAGCTTGGGAAGGTGGGTAGCTCGGGAATGTGGGTAGCTCGGGAAGGTGGGTAGCTCCATTTAGGTGGGTAGCATGGGTAGCGCAGGAAGGTAGGTAGCTCGGGAAGATGGGTAGCTCTGGTAGCTCAGGAAGGTGGGTAGCTCGGGAAGGTGAGTAGCTCAGGTAGCCTGGGAAGGTGGGTAGCTTGGGAAGATGGGTAGCTCGGGTAGCTCAGGAAGGTGGGTAGCTCAGGTAGTTTAGGAAGGTGGGTAGCTCGGGAAGATGGGTAGCTCAGGAAGGTGGGTAGCTCAGGTAGGTGGGTAGCTCGGGAAGGTGGGTAGCTCGGGTAGCGCAGGAAGGTGGGTAGCTCGGGAAGGTAGGTAGCCCGGGTAGCATGGGAAGGAGGGTAGCTCAGAAAGGTGGGTAGCTCGCGTAGCTTGGGAAGGTGGGTAGCGCAGGAAGGTGGGTAGCCCGGGTAGCGCAGGAAGGTGGGTAGCTCGGGTAGCGCAGGAAGGTGGGTAGCCCGGGTAGCGCAGGAAGGTGGGTAGCTCGGGTAGCGCAGGAAGGTGGGTAGCTGGGGTAGCGCAGGAAGGTGGGTAGGTCGGGTAGCGCAGGAAGGTGGGTAGCCCGGGTAGCGCAGGAAGGTGGGTAGGTCGGGTAGCGCAGGAAGGTGGGTAGCCCGGGTAGCATGGGAAGGTGGGTAGCTCGGGAAGGTGGGTAGCTCGGGTAGCATGGGAAGGTGGGTAGCTCAGGAAGGTGGGTAGCTCAGGAAGGTGGGTAGCTCAGGAAGGTGGGTACTGAGTTACCAGGGTACCCACTAGACTACCTGGGCCCGCGGTTAGTCACGTGATATACTATTTAATGACAATAACAATAAAACTCCATGGGTAAACAACAAGTTGTAACGTTCTCATTTCTTTCTGAATTGCACATGCATTCCTTCTGACTTTTATATGTTTGAGTAAAAATAAAGCTTCAGTATGCATGACCAGATCTTTTTATATGTGTATCTAAATAGCCTTGGCCAGGGCTATGGTAAAACGATTCCCAATCACCCATTTTGTACCCAACTCTTGAGACCTACGGCGGGTAGGTACCTGGGTAGGGTCGGGTGACAGGGTTACCCCAGCAATATATCTGGACTTGTCTCACCCCTACAAAGGAATGTACATTTTATCAAATCCATGCCTACAGTCACACTCTACAGCATTCTCTATTTCAATGAATTTAGTTTAGCACCTATTTGACACAAAACTCCAGGCATGGTGATATAAAATCATTATTGTTTAACTGTTCATTGTTTACCTGAAATGTCTGGACTTTCACAGCACACATTAATCCCAAAATAATCCTTCTCTCGGTGTGATATGTGATCTGACTCAGTCCATGTTTCTGCAAGATGGCGGCGAGAGCATCAGTTACTGGAAGGAAGCCATCTCGTTTGAAGAGGCCATCAACAATGTATGTGCACACCTTCCCAGCACTGAGTCTCCTGGCTGATCTTACGCAAATCTTACAGAACTGAAAGAAATGAAAGGTGATATATGCACATGTGATGTCATTTGATACACATACCGTATTTGATGCAATAAGTGCCCAGGGTGATCTAAAAATTAGAAATGGGGGGCTCATATTTAAATATAATTTTGGTGAGAAAAACAGAGTTAAAGGATTGAAAATTTCATGGTTTATAGTATGCTGACAGCCTAAAAAATCTGTGCGTATTCTACACGACAGATATATTTTCAAGAATTTACATACACGAGTGCGTATTATACACGAATAAATGGTGCTAATTGTTCACAAGCCAATATATTAGTCAATATCTCTGTGGGTGCTTATTTGAGCAGGGCGCTTATTGCATCGAATACAGTACCTGGTTATGTCTTGTTGATACACACACCTGGTCATGTGACCTCATGTTGATACACACACCTGGCCATGTGACGTCATGTTGATACACACACCTGGTCATGTGACCTCATGTTGATACACACACCTGGTCATGTGACGTCATGTTGATACACATACCTGGTCATGTGACGTCATGTTGATACACACACCTGGTCATGTGATGTCATGTTGATAGGTGACGTCATGTTGATACACACACCTGGTCATGTGACGTCATGTTGATACACACACCTGGTCATGTGACCTCATGTTGATACACACACCTGGTCATGTGACGTCATATTGATACACACACCTGGCCATGAAACCTCATATTGATACACACACCTGGCCATGTGACGTCATGTTGATACACACACCTGGTCATGTGACGTCATATTGATACACACACCTGGCCATGAAACCTCATATTGATACACACACCTGGTCATGTGACCTCATATTGATACACACACCTGATCATGTGACGTCATGTTGATACACACACCTGGTCATGTGACGTCATGTTGATACACACACCTGGTCATGTGATGCCATGTTGATACACACACCTGGTCATGTGACGTCATATTGATACACACACCTGATCATGTGACGTCATGTTGATACACACACCTGGTCATGTGACGTCATGTTGATACACACACCTGGTCATGTGACGTCATGTTAATACACACACCTGGTCATGTGACGTCATGTTGATACACACACCTGGTCATGTGACCTCATGTTGATACACACACCTGGTCATGTGACGTCATGTTGATACACACACCTGGTCATGTGACCTCATGTTGATACACACACCTGGTCATGTGACGTCATGTTGATACACACACCTGGTCATGTGACGTCATATTGATACACACACCTGATCATGTGACGTCATGTTGATACACACACCTGGTCATGTGACGTCATGTTGATACACACACCTGGTCATGTGACCTCATGTTGATACACATACCTGGCCATGTGACGTCATGTTGATACACACACCTGGTCATGTGACGTCATATTGATACACATACCTGTTCATGTGACGTCATGTTGATACACACACCTGGTCATGTGACGTCATGTTGATACACACACCTGGTCATGTGATGCCATGTTGATACACACACCAGATCATGTGACATCATGTTGATACACACACCTGGTCATGTGACGTCATGTTGATACACACACCTGGTCATGTGCCATCATGTTGATACACACACCTGGTCATGTGACGTCATATTGATACACACACCTGATCATGTGACGTCATGTTGATACACACACCTGGTCATGTGACGTCATGTTGATACACACACCTGGTCATGTGACCTCATGTTGATACACATACCTGGCCATGTGACGTCATGTTGATACACACACCTGGTCATGTGACGTCATATTGATACACATACCTGTTCATGTGACGTCATGTTGATACACACACCTGGTCATGTGACGTCATGTTGATACACACACCTGGTCATGTGATGCCATGTTGATACACACACCAGATCATGTGACATCATGTTGATACACACACCTGGTCATGTGACGTCATGTTGATACACACACCTGGTCATGTGCCATCATGTTGATACACACACCTGGTCATGTGATGTCATGTTGATACACATACCTGGTCATGTGACGTCATGTTGATACACACACCTGATTATGTGACGTCATGTTGATACACACACCTGGTCATGTGACGTCATGTTGATACACACACCTGGTAATGTGCCATCATGTTGATACACACACCTGGTCATGTGATGTCATGTTGATAGGTGACGTCATGTTGATACACATTCTTGATCAGGTGAAGTCATGTTGATACACACACCTGGTCATGTGACGTCATGTTGATACACACACCTGATCATGTGACGTCATGTTGATACACACACCTGGTCATGTGACGTCATGTTGATACACACACCTGGTCATGTGACCTCATGTTGATACACACACCTGGCCATGTGACGTCATGTTGATACACACACCTGGTCATGTGACGTCATATTGATACACATACCTGTTCATGTGACGTCATGTTGATACACACACCTGGTCATGTGACGTCATGTTGATACACACACCTGGTCATGTGATGCCATGTTGATACACACACCAGATCATGTGACATCATGTTGATACACACACCTGGTCATGTGACGTCATGTTGATACACACACCTGGTCATGTGCCATCATGTTGATACACACACCTGGTCATGTGATGTCATGTTGATACACATACCTGGTCATGTGACGTCATGTTGATACACACACCTGATTATGTGACGTCATGTTGATACACACACCTGGTCATGTGACATCATGTTGATACACACACCTGGTAATGTGCCATCATGTTGATACACACACCTGGTCATGTGATGTCATGTTGATAGGTGACGTCATGTTGATACACATTCTTGATCAGGTGAAGTCATGTTGATACACACACCTGGTCATGTGACTTCATGTTGATACACATACCTGGTCATGTGACGTCATGTTGATACACATACCTGGTCATGTGAAGTCATGGTTGTACACATACCTGGTCATGTGACGTCATGTTGATACACATACCTGGTCATGTGACGTCATGTTGATACACATACCTGGTCATGTGAAGTCATGGTTGTACACATACCTGGTCATGTGACGTCATGTTGATACACACACCTGGTCATGTGATGTCATGTTGATAGGTGACGTCATGTTGATACACATTCTTGATCAGGTGAAGTCATGTTGATACACACACCTGGTCATGTGACTTCATGTTGATACACATACCTGGTCATGTGACGTCATGTTGATACACATACCTGGTCATGTGACGTCATAGTTGTACACATACCTGGTCATGTGACGTCATGGTTGTACACATACCTGGTCATGTGACTTTATGTTGATACACATACCTGGTAATGTGACATCATGGTTGTACACACTTGGTCATGTGACGTCATGGTTGTACACATACCTGGTCATGTGACGTCATGGCTGTACTAGGAAGGAGAGACTGCTGCAGGAAGGGACGGAGGAACTTCTGGTCAAAGACATCATCCGCAACAAGCGTGCTGAGACTTAGTTTGCACAGCATCTGAAACACCAGCCACAAGTGAGAGGGAACATCTCTAACATGTTAACTTGTACATGGTGAGGTGAAATGGGGTTTACTGTCCCATCCAAGACTATTGCACTTATATAGTGACATGCATGCACGTGTATATGTGTGTGTGGATGCTTGTACTAGACCAGACTGATGCCGATTTATAGTGCTAGCTCACTGAAATACCATACCAGTTTAACATGATTTCCCCACTCAGACACAGTATACTGACTCCGAGCTGACCAGTCCTTGTTTTAGCCCCTTAATGCCGAGCGCCAGACAGGGTAACAACAAGTACCATCTTTTAACATCTTTTGGTAAGACGTGGCCGGGGATCGAACCCCAGACCTTTCCCTCTCCGGGCAAACGCTCTACCACTAGACCACAGAGGCAGTCAACTCCTACATCACCTCTTACAAGCATGGGTTGCTCAAGACTCAATTCTAACCCAGATCTTCATGGGTGGAAAATAATCATGTGTTCACCAGGCAAACCAGTGACTGAAAGAGCAACGTCCCACGCCACTGGGCAACTATGGGCGAAAATGGAGTACCCATGTCACAAAACTAGACAAAGGCCCTGTTCCACAAAGTGAAAGTAGTGTTTCGACAGTCATAAGTCTATGTTAAAGTATGGGAGTTACAATCACCTTTGCTCTACGATCGCTGAAACCATCCTGATGGGCAGAAAATGGACTTTAACCAAGGACCCTTCCACAAAACGATTGTAGCGCCATGACAGTCAGAAGTCTATGTTAAAGTATGGTAGTTACAATTCCCTTTCTGCTATGATCGCTTTACAGAACAAACCCCAGAACCCAGATGTGAGGACCAAACTTCAACGATAGAATCGACATGGTATCGACATAGTGTGTTTTTTCATAGCATTATCTCATTCAAAATGTGTGTTGGAGAAGTGAAGATGGGAGTTATCTCCCCTGATCGTGTTCTGAGTCCTTGACAAACGACTCAGTCCATCTAAACCATCTACACTTGTTTACTCTAGTAGACCCATCTGAGCCAAAGGCGGGACCTGATCCCCAAGCATAGATGCCAACTCAAATAGTTCCCTGTCTGCACCCACAAAGCTCTTCAGAAAACATAACTTGAGGTTTCTTGAACTATCAACAATCAGAGACCTCGTATCATTGAATAATGGATATGTCAGACCTATGTGGAGTGAAAGCATGGCCAGCATAATCTCCCTGTACAATGCTTCATGTCACGAGTGCAGAAACAATTGCTCACCATGATATTTTATGCATGTGGTTTATTTCGTGATCAAATGACAAAAATCATAATTTGTTGTGAGGAAAAGCTTGATAGTGTTATTTTAGGGTCAAAATGAACCCAGACACTATCATGCTTCTCTTCCATATCTGCAGCATGCGCGTTATAGAAGTAAAAATGTGAGTTATCTCCCCTGATCGGGTACCTGAGTCCTTGACAAACAACTAAAGTCATCAAAATCTACTCTTGATTACTCGAGTACCTGTCAGAGCCCTTCTAAGGACCTGATCCCTAAGCAGAGCGCCAACCCCAGTTAAGCTATAGAGTAACTATATTATCAGATAATGGATATTTTAGTCTATACTAATTGAAAGCATGTCTCTGATTGATCAGCATTGGCTAGCTTTAGAATGCTTCATGGCACTGCTGCATAAATAATTTGCTCTCCATCATATTTTATACATGTGAATCATTCATAAGAACATCAGAAAAAGCTGTAACTTTTGAGATGACAAGAGTAATAGTGTAACTGCAGCAGGACGTGGAGTCATCCCGCAGATGAAATCCTTACCTTGTCAGCTTCCTGGCGGGGTTAAAATCTTTGGTCATGTGGACAAGGCGTCCGACCTCTGATCAAAAGGTCCATGGTTCGAATACCATCACAGAACTTGAAAATCTTATGGCTACTACATAGGTATTATGTCAAAATCACAATGCTTGGCATCTCTTACTATGGTTACCATAGTTACTTATGAAGCTACACACCTTTGCAGAGTTAGTCCTCATGCGTTCATCGGGGCTCTCACAGGACTTGGTGAACACATCACAGATAATGTCGTGTTCTTCTTTGGTGAGACTTGGCTTCAAGAAAATGATGTTGAATGTTGCTGATTGCTCAAACACTGTCAGTACCTGCAATGAATGGCAGCCATCAATACTCCAGCCAACGATGACCTCAGTGAGTGAGTAAGTTTTTATGTCGCATTAAGTAACATTGCAGCAATATCATGGCGAGGGACACCAGACATGGTCTTTACACATTGTATTTGCTGGGGATTTAAACCTGAGTGTTTAGCATGACGAGCAAACACTTTAACCACTGGACTACCCTACTGCCCCTCCACTCCATCCAAATTCATTGTCAACCCTTATTACAACCATGAGTACGAGGGACATATTTTGCCCCTGAATCCCCACAGAGAGACAATCATGTGATACTGGGTATCTGCATGGGTACTTAGGACCTATTCTACCCTGGAATCCCAACAAAGAGACTAGCATGGGCACTGTGGACCTATTCTGCCCTGGATCTCCCAAAGGGAGACAAGCATCAGATACTGTGGACCTATTCTGCCCTGGATCTCCCAAAGGGAGACAAGCATCAGGTACTGTGGACCTATTCTGCCCTGGAACTCCCAAAGGGAGACAAGCATCAGATACTGTGGACCTATTCTGCCCTGGAACTCCCAAAGGGAGACAAGCATCAGGTACTGTGGACCTATTCTGCCCTGGAACTCCCACAGGGAGACAAGCATCAGGTACTGTGGACCTATTCTGCCCTGGAACTCCCAAAGGGAGACAAGCATCAGGTACTGTGGACCTATTCTGCCCTGGAACTCCCAAAGGGAGACAAGCATCAGATACTGTGGACCTATTCTGCCCTGGAACTCCCAAAGGGAGACAAGCATCAGGTACTGTGGACCTATTCTGCCCTGGAACTCCCAAAGGGAGACAAGCATCAGGTACTGTGGACCTATTCTGCCCTGGAACTCCCACAGGGAGACAAGCATCAGGTACTGTGGACCTATTCTGCCCTGGAACTCCCAAAGGGAGACAAGCATCAGGTACTGTGGACCTATTCTGCCCTGGAACTCCCAAAGGGAGACAAGCATCAGATACTGTGGACCTATTCTGCCCTGGAACTCCCAAAGGGAGACAAGCATCAGGTACTGTGGACCTATTCTGCCCTGGAACTCCCAAAGGGAGACAAGCATCAGGTACTGTGGACCTATTCTGCCCTGGAACTCCCAAAGGGAGACAAGCATCAGGTACTGTGGACCTATTCTGCCCTGGAACTTCCAAAGGGAGACAAGCATAAGATACTGTGGACCTATTCTGCCCTGGAACTCCCAAAGGGAGACAAGCATCAGGTACTGTGGACCTATTCTGCCCTGGAACTCCCACAGGGAGACAAGCATCAGGTACTGTGGACCTATTCTGCCCTGGAACTCCCAAAGGGAGACAATAATAAGATACTGTGGACCTATTCTGCCCTGGAACTCCCACAGGGAGACAAGCATCAGGTACTGTGGACCTATTCTGCCCTGGAACTCCCACAGGGAGACAAGCAACAGGTACTGTGGACCTATTCTGCCCTGGAACTCCCAAAGGGAGACAAGCATAAGATACTGTGGACCTATTCTGCCCTGGAACTCCCAAAGGGAGACAAGCATCAGGTACTGTGGACCTATTCTGCCCTGGAACTCCCACAGGGAGATAAGCATCAGGTACTGTGGACCTATTCTGCCCTGGAGCTCCCACAGGGAGACAAGCATCAGGTACTGTGGACCTATTCTGCCCTGGAACTCCCAAAGGGAGACAAGCATCAGGTACTGTGGACCTATTCTGCCCTGGAACTCCCAAAGGGAGACAAGCATCAGATACTGTGGACCTATTCTGCCCTGGAACTCCCAAAGGGAGACAAGCATCAGGTACTGTGGACCTATTCTGCCCTGGAACTCCCAAAGGGAGACAAGCATCAGGTACTGTGGACCTATTCTGCCCTGGAACTCCCAAAGGGAGACAAGCATCAGATACTGTGGACCTATTCTGCCCTGGAACTCCCAAAGGGAGACAAGCATCAGGTACTGTGGACCTATTCTGCCCTGGAACTCCCACAGGGAGACAAGCATCAGGTACTGTGGACCTATTCTGCCCTGGAACTCCCAAAGGGAGACAAGCATCAGATACTGTGGACCTATTCTGCCCTGGAACTCCCACAGGGAGACAAGCATCAGGTATTTTATTCTTACAAGAAATTCCTAAATAGCAAAAAGCAGTTCAACACTTACCTCATGTGAATACAAAGATTCACAAAGAAACATTGAAAGCTAAATGACATTCAGGTAACAAAAATTAATGGGAAGATGAAGCTTATTTCTTAACAAATACTACACAAGCTCACCTGTGAGTTGTTACGATACCTGTCCAACAGATGGTCCCATATGGCAGAGAATGCTGGGTAATCCTCCTTGGTTGCCATGGACGCCACGGATGCAACAGCTTCTGCCCAGTGTCTCTGAACAAAGAACTTGGTGTGCTGTAGATCTACTCGAGGAAAGAAGCAAGCCACCATATATGTAAAATAAGGATACATAATAGTGCCTGCATTGAAGCTCACCTGGATGTGTAACAATTTAACAAAAGATGCTGCAAGAAATGATATTCAATTTTTTCTTTGTATATACTTAGCACTTAGAACACACACTTAAATACTAGTGAGTGAGTATGGTTTTACACCGATTTTAGCAATATTCCAGCAATATCACAGCGGGGGAGACCAGAAATGGCCTTCACACATTGTACCCATGTTGGGAATCGAACCCGGGTCTTCGGTGTGACGAGCGAACGCTTTAACCACAAGGCTACCAGACCGCCCCACTTAAATACTAATGATCTGAATAAAGTATGTCAGCACTAGGAGAAGCATTCATGCCAAAGTTCAGAAATACCTCATATTTCGGAGATGTTCAAAGAGCCAAAAATGCATTTTGAGAGAATTCAAGTCAAAACAAGGTCAAAATTCAACATATTGCAAAAAATTGGACATATGAGATGGGTTCTACTTAATTAAAGATGTACCAAATGTTTCAAGACTTTTGCCATAAGTCTACATTAAAGTAGGGGCGATATCATCATCTTTGTGCTACGATTGCCATAAGTCTACATTAAAGTAAGGGTGTTATGATCATCTTTGTGCTACGATTGCCATAAGTCTACATTAAAGTAGGGGCGTAATGATCATCTTTGTGCTACGATTGCCATAAGTCTACATTAAAGTAAGGGCGTAATGATCATCTTTGTGCTACGATTGCCATAAGTCTACATTAAAGTAAGGGTGTAATGATCATCTTTGTGCTACGATTGCCATAAGTCTACATTAAAGTAAGGGCGTAATGATCATCTTTGTGCTACGATTGCCATAAGTCTACATTAAAGTAGGGGCGTTATGATCATCTTTGTGCTACGATTGCCATAAGTCTACATTAAAGCAAGGGCGTTATGATCATCTTTGTGCTACGATTGCCATAAGTCTACATTAAAGTAAGGGCGTTATGATCATCTTTGTGCTACGATTGCCATAAGTCTACATTAAAGTAAGGGCGATATCATCATCTTTGTGCTACGATTGCCATAAGTCTACATTAAAGTAAGGGCGATATCATCATCTTTGTGCTACGATTGCCATAAGTCTACATTAAAGTAGGGGCGTTTTGATCATCTTTGTGCTACGATTGCCATAAGTCTACATTAAAGTAAGGGTGTTATGATCATCTTTGTGCTACGATTGCCATAAGTCTACATTAAAATAAGGGCGTTATGATCATCTTTGTGCTACGATTGCCATAAGTCTACATTAAAGTAAGGGCGATATCATCATCTTTGTGCTACGATTGCCATAAGTCTACATTAAAGTAAGGGCGATATCATCATCTTTGTGCTACGATTGCCATAAGTCTACATTAAAGCAAGGGCGTTATGATCATCTTTGTGCTACGATTGCCATGAGTCTACATTAAAGTAAGGGAGTTATCATCATCTTTGTGCTACGATTGCCATAAGTCTACATTAAAGTAAGGGCGTTATGATCATCTTTGTGCTACGATTGCCATAAGTCTACATTAAAGTAAGGGCGATATGATCATCTTTGTGCTACGATTGCCATAAGTCTACATTAAAGTAAGGGCGATATCATCATCTTTGTGCTACGATTGCCATAAGTCTACATTAAAGCAAGGGCGTTATGATCATCTTTGTGCTACGATTGCCATGAGTCTACATTAAAGTAAGGGAGTTATCATCATCTTTGTGCTACGATTGCCATAAGTCTACATTAAAGTAAGGGCGTTATGATCATCTTTGTGCTACGATTGCCATAAGTCTACATTAAAGTAAGGGCGATATGATCATCTTTGTGCTACGATTGCCATAAGTCTACCTTAAAATAAGGGCGTTTTGATCATCTTTGTGCTACGATTGCCATAAGTCTACATTAAAGTAGGGGAGATATCATCATCTTTGTGCTACGATTGCCATAAGTCTACATTAAAGTAGGGGCGTTATGATCATCTTTGTGCTACGATTGCCATAAGTCTACATTAAAGTAAGGGCGATATCATCATCTTTGTGCTACGATTGCCATAAGTCTACATTAAAGTAAGGGCGATATCATCATCTTTGTGCTACGATTGCCATAAGTCTACATTAAAGCAAGGGCGTTATGATCATCTTTGTGCTACGATTGCCATGAGTCTACATTAAAGTAAGGGAGTTATCATCATCTTTGTGCTACAATTGCCGTAAGTCTACATTAAAGTAAGGGCGTTATGATCATCTTTGTGCTACGATTGCCATAAGTCTACATTAAAGTAAGGGCGATATCATCATCTTTGTGCTACGATTGCCACAAGTCTACATTAAAATAAGGGCGTTTTGATCATCTTTGTGCTACGATTGCCATAAGTCTACATTAAAGTAAGGGCGATATGATCATCTTTGTGCTACGATTGCCATAAGTCTACATTAAAATAAGGGCGTTTTGATCATCTTTGTGCTACGATTGCCATAAGTCTACATTAAAGTAGGGGCGTTATGATCATCTTTGTGCTACGATTGCCATAAGTCTACATTAAAGTAGGGGCGTTATGATCATCTTTGTGCTACGATTGCCATAAGTCTACATTAAAGTAGGGGCGTTATGATCATCTTTGTGCTACGATTGCCATAAGTCTACATTAAAGCAAGGGCGTTATGATCATCTTTGTGCTACGATTGCCATAAGTCTACATTAAAGTAGGGGCGTTATGATCATCTTTGTGCTACGATTGCCATAAGTCTACATTAAAGTAAGGGCGATATGATCATCTTTGTGCTACGATTGCCATAAGTCTACATTAAAATAAGGGCGTTTTGATCATCTTTGTGCTACGATTGCCATAAGTCTACATTAAAGTAAGGGCGATATCATCATCTTTGTGCTACGATTGCCATAAGTCTACATTAAAGTAAGGTTGTTATGATCATCTTTGTGCTACGATTGCCATAAGTCTACATTAAAGTAAGGGCGTTATGATCATCTTTGTGCTACGATTGCCATAAGTCTACATTAAAGTAAGGGCGATATGATCATCTTTGTGCTACGATTGCCATAAGTCTACATTAAAATAAGGGCGTTTTGATCATCTTTGTGCTACGATTGCCATAAGTCTACATTAAAGTAAGGGCGTTATGATCATCTTTGTGCTACGATTGCCATAAGTCTACATTAAAGTAAGGGCGATATCATCATCTTTGTGCTACGATTGCCATAAGTCTACATTAAAGTAAGGGCGTTATGATCATCTTTGTGCTACGATTGCCATAAGTCTACATTAAAGTAAGGGCGATATCATCATCTTTGTGCTACGATTGCCATAAGTCTACATTAAAGTAAGGGCGATATCATCATCTTTGTGCTACGATTGCCATAAGTCTACATTAAAGTAGGGGCGTTATGATCATCTTTGTGCTACGATTGCCATAAATCTACATTAAAGTAAGGGCGATATGATCATCTTTGTGCTACGATTGCCATAAGTCTACATTAAAGTAAGGGCGATATCATCATCTTTGTGCTACGATTGCCATAAGTCTACATTAAAGCAAGGGCGTTATGATCATATTTGTGCTACGATTGCCATAAGTCTACATTAAAGTAAGGGCGTTATGATCATATTTGTGCTACGATTGCCATAAGTCTACATTAAAATAAGGGCGATATGATCATCTTTGTGCTACGATTGCCATAAGTCTACATTAAAATAAGGGCGTTTTGATCATCTTTGTGCTACGATTGCCATAAGTCTACATTAAAGTAAGGGCGATATCATCATCTTTGTGCTACGATTGCCATAAGTCTACATTAAAGTAAGGGCGATATCATCATCTTTGTGCTACGATTGCCATAAGTCTACATTAAAGTAAGGTTGTTATGATCATCTTTGTGCTACGATTGCCATAAGTCTTCATTAAAGTAAGGGCGTTATGATCATCTTTGTGCTACGATTGCCATAAGTCTACATTAAAGTAAGGGCGATATGATCATCTTTGTGCTACGATTGCCATAAGTCTACATTAAAATAAGGGCGTTTTGATCATCTTTGTGCTACGATTGCCATAAGTCTACATTAAAGTAGGGGCGTTATGATCATCTTTGTGCTACGATTGCCATAAGTCTACATTAAAGTAAGGGCGATATGATCATCTTTGTGCTACGATTGCCATAAGTCTACATTAAAGTAAGGGCGATATCATCATCTTTGTGCTACGATTGCCATAAGTCTACATTAAAGCAAGGGCGTTATGATCATCTTTGTGCTACGATTGCCATAAGTCTACATTAAAGTAAGGGCGTTATGATCATATTTGTGCTACGATTGCCATAAGTCTACATTAAAATAAGGGCGATATGATCATCTTTGTGCTACGATTGCCATAAGTCTACATTAAAATAAGGGCGTTTTGATCATCTTTGTGCTACGATTGCCATAAGTCTACATTAAAGTAAGGGCGTTATGATCATCTTTGTGCTACGATTGCCATAAGTCTACATTAAAGTAAGGGCGATATCATCATCTTTGTGCTACGATTGCCATAAGTCTACATTAAAGTAAGGGCGTTATGATCATCTTTGTGCTACGATTGCCATAAGTCTACATTAAAGTAAGGGCGATATCATCATCTTTGTGCTACGATTGCCATAAGTCTACATTAAAGTAAGGGCGATATCATCATCTTTGTGCTACGATTGCCATAAGTCTACATTAAAGTAGGGGCGTTATGATCATCTTTGTGCTACGATTGCCATAAATCTACATTAAAGTAAGGGCGATATGATCATCTTTGTGCTACGATTGCCATAAGTCTACATTAAAGTAAGGGCGATATCATCATCTTTGTGCTACGATTGCCATAAGTCTACATTAAAGCAAGGGCGTTATGATCATATTTGTGCTACGATTGCCATAAGTCTACATTAAAGTAAGGGCGTTATGATCATATTTGTGCTACGATTGCCATAAGTCTACATTAAAATAAGGGCGATATGATCATCTTTGTGCTACGATTGCCATAAGTCTACATTAAAATAAGGGCGTTTTGATCATCTTTGTGCTACGATTGCCATAAGTCTACATTAAAGTAAGGGCGATATCATCATCTTTGTGCTACGATTGCCATAAGTCTACATTAAAGTAAGGGCGATATCATCATCTTTGTGCTACGATTGCCATAAGTCTACATTAAAGTAAGGTTGTTATGATCATCTTTGTGCTACGATTGCCATAAGTCTTCATTAAAGTAAGGGCGTTATGATCATCTTTGTGCTACGATTGCCATAAGTCTACATTAAAGTAAGGGCGATATGATCATCTTTGTGCTACGATTGCCATAAGTCTACATTAAAATAAGGGCGTTTTGATCATCTTTGTGCTACGATTGCCATAAGTCTACATTAAAGTAGGGGCGTTATGATCATCTTTGTGCTACGATTGCCATAAGTCTACATTAAAGTAAGGGCGATATGATCATCTTTGTGCTACGATTGCCATAAGTCTACATTAAAGTAAGGGCGATATCATCATCTTTGTGCTACGATTGCCATAAGTCTACATTAAAGCAAGGGCGTTATGATCATCTTTGTGCTACGATTGCCATAAGTCTACATTAAAGTAAGGGCGTTATGATCATATTTGTGCTACGATTGCCATAAGTCTACATTAAAATAAGGGCGATATGATCATCTTTGTGCTACGATTGCCATAAGTCTACATTAAAATAAGGGCGTTTTGATCATCTTTGTGCTACGATTGCCATAAGTCTACATTAAAGTAAGGGCGATATCATCATCTTTGTGCTACGATTGCCATAAGTCTACATTAAAGTAAGGGCGATATCATCATCTTTGTGCTACGATTGCCATAAGTCTACATTAAAGTAAGGGAGTTATGATCATCTTTGTGCTACGATTGCCATAAGTCTACATTAAAGTAAGGGCGATATCATCATCTTTGTGCTACGATTGCCATAAGGCTACATTAAAGTAGGGGCGTTATGATCATCTTTGTGCTACGATTGCCATAAGTCTACATTAAAGTAAGGGCATTATGATCATCTTTGTGCTACGATTGCCATAAGTCTACATTAAAGTAGGGGCGTTATGATCATCTTTGTGCTACGATTGCCATAAGTCTACATTAAAGTAAGGGCGATATGATCATCTTTGTGCTACGATTGCCATAAGTCTACATTAAAGTAAGGTTGTTATGATCATATTTGTGCTATGATTGCCATAAGTCTACATTAAAGCAAGGGCGTTATGATCATATTTGTGCTACGATTGCCATAAGTCTACATTAAAGTAAGGGCGTTATGATCATCTTTGTGCTACGATTGCCATAAGTCTACATTAAAGTAAGGGCGATATCATCATCTTTGTGCTACGATTGCCATAAGTCTACATTAAAGTAAGGGAGTTATCATCATCTTTGTGCTACGATTGCCATAAGTCTACATTAAAGTAAGGGCGTTATGATCATCTTTGTGCTACGATTGCCATAAGTCTACATTAAAGCAAGGGCGTTATGATCATCTTTGTGCTACGATTGCCATAAGTCTACATTAAAGCAAGGGCGTTATGATCATCTTTGTGCTACGATTGCCATAAGTCTACATTAAAGTAAGGGCGATATCATCATCTTTGTGCTACGATTGCCATAAGTCTACATTAAAGTAAGGGTGTTATGATCATCTTTGTGCTACGATTGCCATAAGTCTACATTAAAGCAAGGGCGTTATGATCATCTTTGTGCTACGATTGCTATAAGTCTACATTAAAGTAAGGGAGTTATCATCATCTTTGTGCTACGATTGCCATAAGTCTACATTAAAGTAAGGGCGATATCATCATCTTTGTGCTAAGATTGCCATAAGTCTACATTAAAGTAAGGGCGATATCATCATCTTTGTGCTACGATTGCCATAAGTCTACATTAAAGCAAGGGCGTTATGATCATCTTTGTGCTACGATTGCCATAAGTCTACATTAAAGTAAGGGAGTTATCATCATCTTTGTGCTACGATTGCCATAAGTCTACATTAAAGTAAGGGCGATATCATCATCTTTGTGCTACGATTGCCATAAGTCTACATTAAAGTAAGGGCGATATCATCATCTTTGTGCTACGATTGCCATAAGTCTACATTAAAGTAAGGGCGTTATGATCATCTTTGTGCTACGATTGCCATAAGTCTACATTAAAGTAAGGGCGATATCATCATCTTTGTGCTACGATTGCCATAAGTCTACATTAAAGTAAGGGCGATATCATCATCTTTGTGCTACGATTGCCATAAGTCTACATTAAAGCAAGGGCGTTATGATCATCTTTGTGCTACGATTGCCATAAGTCTACATTAAAGCAAGGGCATTATGATCATCTTTGTGCTACGATTGCCATAAGTCTACATTAAAGTAAGGGAGTTATCATCATCTTTGTGCTACGATTGCCATAAGTCTACATTAAAGTAAGGGCGATATCATCATCTTTGTGCTACGATTGCCATAAGTCTACATTAAAGCAAGGGCGTTATGATCATCTTTGTGCTACGATTGCCATAAGTCTACATTAAAGTAAGGGCGATATCATCATCTTTGTGCTACGATTGCCATAAGTCTACATTAAAGCAAGGGCGTTATGATCATCTTTGTGCTACGATTGCCATAAGTCTACATTAAAGCAAGGGCGTTATGATCATCTTTGTGCTACGATTGCCATAAGTCTACATTAAAGTAAGGGCGTTATGATCATCTTTGTGCTACGATTGCCATAAGTCTACATTAAAGCAAGGGCGTTATGATCATCTTTGTGCTACGATTGCCATAAGTCTACATTAAAGTAAGGGCGTTATGATCATCTTTGTGCTACGATTGCCATAAGTCTACATTAAAGTAAGGGCGATATCATCATCTTTGTGCTACGATTGCCATAAGTCTACATTAAAGTAAGGGCGTTATGATCATCTTTGTGCTACGATTGCCATAAGTCTACATTAAAGCAAGGGCGTTATGATCATCTTTGTGCTACGATTGCCATAAGTCTACATTAAAGTAAGGGCGATATCATCATCTTTGTGCTACGATTGCCATAAGTCTACATTAAAGCAAGGGCGTTATGATCATCTTTGTGCTACGATTGCCATGAGTCTACATTAAAGTAAGGTTGTTATGATCATATTTGTGCTATGATTGCCATAAGTCTACATTAAAGCAAGGGCGTTATGATCATATTTGTGCTACGATTGCCATAAGTCTACATTAAAGTAAGGGCGATATCATCATCTTTGTGCTACGATTGCCATAAGTCTACATTAAAGTAAGGGAGTTATCATCATCTTTGTGCTACAATTGCCATAAGTCTACATTAAAGTAAGGGAGTTATCATCATCTTTGTGCTACGATTGCCATAAGTCTACATTAAAGTAAGGGCGTTATGATCATCTTTGTGCTACGATTGCCATAAGTCTACATTAAAGCAAGGGCGTTATGATCATCTTTGTGCTACGATTGCCATAAGTCTACATTAAAGTAAGGGCGTTATGATCATCTTTGTGCTACGTTTGCTGTGTTGAATGGTGCACAGGAGAATTCTTTTCACTGAAAAGACACAGAAAATTATTTGCCATTCTGTTTATCAAGCATGTTCCTATGTTTATTATTTCCCATGTGTCCGTCCAATTTACTTGTGTGAAGCCCATTTTTCACTTGCCTCATGTAGTAAACATCATCCCTTAGTACCTTAACGTTACTTCTAAATATGTCGAAGGTCGATGTTAAGGTACGGGAGTAGCCATCACCTTAGCGCTAAGATCGCTTTATACAACGTCACCAAGGACCTCATTTTAATCCTACCATTATGTGATTTTAATTATGCCCATTGAGACTTCAATACGAAGAATTTGATGCTTGTGGAGATAGACAACATTCATTTCACTTGCATCATGACAGCACAATCTCACCTAAGACGCCGCAATTTGTTGTGCAGAGTTGCGTCCCTTAGGTACGCCAGAATCCTATGATTGTGGGTTCGAATCCCTGTTCTCCCCGATTATGTTTCTAGGTTTGTCAGCACCATACCCGTGTTCATGGGTTTCACCAAAGTGGTAAACGTATGAGACCTGCATCACTTGGGGCTTTCCTCCCCCATTAAGCTGACATGCTGTGATATGACTGGATTATTATTAAAAGCGGCGTTAAACCAAACTCACTCACTCACAATCTCACCTGGTTGTAAATGTCCCATCAGTGGCTTGATGTGTGGTTGAACGCCCTTCTTCAAAAGATGGACGATAGTCTGAATGGTGGAGAACCCAGCCTCTTTTATTGCAGGCAGTTCGCTGTCACACAATGTCTTGACGTACGGCAGGACAGCGCCAAGTCCAGCAGTCTCAGCAATGATGGCCACAGTATAACCGTTTGTATTTGGGACAACGGCTGAAGGGGAGTCTAGATCTGGTGTAAGATGTGACAGTATTTCCCTCGTGCCGAACACCTGAAACAGACCATGACATCAGAGTGAGTTGACAAGGACTTTTATTCTTAACACTCATTCTTTATTTGTAACATTTGACCATTAGTGTGTACTTAATTATTTCAACTTGTGTATAATCAGTGTTTTCCAAATGTCTTACCTTTGTGAGTTTAGAAACCATCCTGCAAGCTATTAGTTTCATCTGACGTGTTCCACACAGACCTGCTTGAAAAACTAAGAGAAGTTTGTCGATGTATGGACGAGCTTTGCCTCCGGCTTTATAAATGACAGCATCTATAGATTCTATTAGTTTCTGCATGGTTTCTTCGCGTTCGTCCTGCCACAGGGTGTGAAATATCATCGGCAACAGAAGATTGAACAATTCACAGCACCCGCCAGTCTTGGCCATCTTCTGTAACTCTGTCGTTGCTTCCTGTGGCAAACAGAAGTCATTGTTTGAAATAAAAATATCAGTTTGGCCTGAGACAGGTAAGCTGGGTACTAGGTCGGGTGGGTATTGAGTGACCACAGGACAACCTTGAACTGTGGTTAGTCATGTGATCTACTGTTTACTGACAAAAGTTCACTATACATGTAACTCCATTGTTACACCACAAGTCCCTAATGTTCACATTTCTTTCTGACTATGTACCCATTACTTCTGACTTTCATATGTTTGAATAAAGATAACCTTCACAGTCAACTTCAGTGTATGCATGACCAGATCATTTTATAGGTGTATCTATAAAAACAATTCCCAATCGGACATTTTGTACCCAACTCTTGAGACTAACAGCAGGGACATAGTGAAAGGGGGTCGGGTATCCGGGTACCCGGGTAGTAAATTTGGACTCGTCCCAGCCCTACTATTAATCCAACATCAAATTCAGGGATACCAGCAGCCAAAAGCAACACAAATCTCTCTGCAGAGTTACTCCTCTTAGCTGTGCCAGGATCTTATGACTGATGGTTTGAATACCAGATTTGCTCTGATTATGATTCTTAGTTTGAAAGCACCGAACTTGTACTTACCATTTCATCCAAATGTTACATATCTGTGACCTGTGTTGCTTTGGAGATGCTGGACTTGCCCACATTCAGCTGACACACCAAGAGAATAACATACGGACTACGAGGGCCGGAATTACATATTATCTGTCCTGAGTGAATTAATGTTGTAAATACAATGCCTTGGGGAGAGACTTTCTATGGATGGCCATTCAGTCAAGGAATGGCCACATTCACAAGGAACAAGCCAATTACACTCGGAATGTGTACAAATCAAAGCGCCATCTGGCGTTCTTTATTGTCAATGTTGTCTTCTTTCCGTGGCATTTAGAAGTTGGTGTGATGAAGTAAGACAAGTTCTATGGATGAACAACTTCTTTATTACAATTAGTGCGACGTTTCGGTGTAGATCCTAACAAGTGAACACTTGCTTGATAAAGGTGTTAGGATCTACACCGAAACGTCGCACTAATTGTAATAAAGAAGTTGTTCATCCATAGAACTTGTCTTACGTCAATGTTGTCCTTTAGCAGTTTAGTGTCCTTTTTGTTCACTGATGTTCTTCAGAAGACATTGCTCTTTTTTTTACATATGCAGTCTTTCGTTTGCGAGTTGTGAGCTGGTATTGTTTTGTATTTTGAATTCATTAATTGTATGTAAACAATGGCCTTCATTTGTAACATTTGACTATTATTGCGGACTCTTGTCCTTTATTTCCGCTTTGTATTTTTTAACTATCAACATTATTTCACAAGGGGCAGCTATTCCATAACTCTGAGTTGCGAGTAGGTTGGTTGGTTGTTTGTTTTATGCCGCACTTGGCAGTATTCCAGCTATGGGATGGCGGTCTGTAAATAATCAAGTCTGGACCAGACAATCCAGTGATTGATATCTTGAGCATCTATCCACGCAATTGGGATCAATGACATGCTTTAACCAAGTCAACGAGCCTGACCACCTGATCCTGTTCATCGCCTCTTACAACAAGCAAATAGTCGCCTTTTACGGCCAGCATGAGTTGCAAGTAGGACATTCTCTTGTCACTCATACTCTTTTTTTTATGATAAAAAGTAGAATAAATGTATGTTTCTTGACCTCAAATGGAGACTTCAGCTGTTGGTCAATTGCAGGTCCAGCAACTACTAGGTGAGCGTACCACTCAGACCAAACAAACAAGTGGCTTCGGACTAGTGGCTTAAGTCCAGACTGTAAGCACACTGTTTTGCTTATCATTGCTTTGTGAAAATTGGAAATGAATGAATTGTCAATTTAATCATAGTGAATGTGTCCTTTTGGTTTAGTGAGAAATGTGTTGTATACATGGAGAATAGGAGTTACAATTAAGAGTTTTTAACTAGGCCTTTTGGACAACTGGAAGGACAGATGGACAACTGGAAGGACAGGACAACTGGAAGGACATATGGACAACTGGAAGGACAGGACAACTGGAAGGACATATGGACAACTGGAGAGATAGATGGACAACTAGAAGGACATATGGACAACTGGAAGGACAGATGGACAACTGGAAGGACAGATGGACAACTGGAAGGACAGATGGACAACTGGAGAGATAGATGGACAACTAGAAGGACAGGACAACTGGAAGGACAGATGGACAACGGAGAGATAGATGGACAACTAGAAGGACAGGACAACTGGAAGGACAGATGGACAACTGGAAGGACAGGACAACTGGAAGGACAGATGGACAACTAGAAGGACAGGACAACTGGAAGGACAGATGGACAACTGGAAGGACAGATGGACAACGGAGAGATAGATGGACAACTGGAAGGACAGGACAACTGGAAGGACATATGGACAACTGGAGAGATAGATGGACAACTAGAAGGACATATGGACAACTGGAAGGACAGATGGACAACTGGAAGGACAGATGGACAACTGGAAGGACAGATGGACAACTGGAGAGATAGATGGACAACTAGAAGGACAGGACAACTGGAAGGACAGATGGACAACGGAGAGATAGATGGACAACTAGAAGGACAGGACAACTGGAAGGACAGATGGACAACTGGAAGGACAGGACAACTGGAAGGACAGATGGACAACTAGAAGGACAGGACAACTGGAAGGACAGATGGACAACTGGAAGGACAGATGGACAATGGAGAGATAGATGGACAACTAGAAGGACAGGACAACTGGAAGGACAGATGGACAACTGGAAGGACAGACGGACAACAGAGAGATAGATGGACAACTGGAAGGACAGGACAACTGGAAGGACAGATTGACAACGGCAAGATAGATGGACAACTGGAAGGACAGGACAACTGGAAGGACAGATGGACAATGGAGAGATAGATGGACAACTGGAAGGACAGGACAACTGGAAGGACAGATGGACAACTGGAAGGACAGATGGACAATGGAGAGATAGATGGACAACTAGAAGGACAGGACAACTGGAAGGACAGATGGACAACTGGAAGGACAGGACAACTGGAAGGACAGATGGACAACTGGAAGGACAGATGGACAACTGGAAGGACAGATTGACAACTGGAAGGACAGATGGAAAACTGGAGAGATAGATGGACAACGGAGAGATAGATGGACAACTAGAAGGACAGGACAACTGGAAGGACAGATGGACAACTGGAAGGACAGGACAACTGGAAGGACAGATGGACAACTGGAAGGACAGATTGACAACTGGAAGGACAGATGGACAACTGGAGAGATAGATGGACAACGGAGAGATAGATGGACAACTAGAAGGACAGGACAACTGGAAGGACATATGGACAACGGAGAGATAGATGGACAACTAGAAGGACAGGACAACTGGAAGGACAGATGGACAACGGAGAGATAGATGGACAACTAGAAGGACAGGACAACTCGAAGGACAGATGGACAACTGGAAGGACAGTCAACTGGAAGGACAGATGGACAACTGGAGAGATAGATGGACAACTGGAAGGACAGGACAATTGGAAGGACAAGACAACTGGAAGGACAGATGGACAACTGGAAGGACAGATGGACAACTGGAAGGACAGATGGACAACTGGAAGGACAGGACAACTGGAAGGACAGATGAACAACTGGAGAGATAGATGGACAACTGGAGGACAAGACAACTGGAAGGACAAGACAACTGGAAGGACAGATGGACAACTGGAAGGACAGATGGACAACTGGAAGGACAGATGGACAACTGGAAGGACAGATGGACAACTGGAAGGACAGGACAACTGGAAGGACATATGGACAACTTGAAGGACAGATGGACAACAGACAATGTGCCACATTTCAGCCATGTGAGCTTAATATTTCAACCATCCAAAGTGTTTGGAAAACAATTCTGTAATCCAAGTCTAAGACATGTAAGAAGGGTCCTGGGTAGTTATCACCAATACCTGTGCAGTTGCAGGTGGTCCATTCTTGATTTTCAGCACTATTCCTATCAGGTGTCTCTTTTCAACCTCTGTCTGGGAGATTCCAGGACTTGACAAATTGATACTTCTCTGAAAAAACAAATATATACATATGTATAAGTGATACTCCTTAGTAATATTTAATATTTGGGGTGGTCAGGTAGTCTTGTTGTTAAAGCGTTCACTCGCCACGCCGAAGACCCGGGTTTGATTCCCAACATGGGTACAATTCTGGTGCTAAAAGCGGTGTAAAACCATACTCCCTCACTGACTCAGTAATATTTGAGGTAAGGTGATGTGGGTTTAATGTTGTGTGCAAGATTATTGCACTTATATGACAATGTAATGTTAGTTTTATGGCGCTAGGCCACTGAGATACCATGCCACAGCTTACACTGATGCCCCACTCAGACACAGTACACGGACTCACCATACCCACACAGTGTGCATATTTGCTCTTAATATCAATCACTGGTTTGTCTGGCCCAAAGCCTGATTGTTTACAGGCTGCCATCATAAAGCTTGAATATTGCTAATGTGGCATTATACAAACAAACAAATTCCGTGGCTTAAGTTTATACGTTTTTCAGTGTATTTCCACATTTAACATTTGGAGAACAAAGTTCTTGGCTGAATTATAGTATGTCATAACATGTTGAGTATGCCATAACATGCTTAGCATGTTATAACATGTTAAGTATGATAACTTACAAGCAGACGTCCAAAGTACTTGATATCCTCATTCTTGACAAAGGGAAACAACTCCAGGTCGACAGGTTCTGATGACTGAGAACTGGTGTTCTGCACCAAAGCCTGACTGGAGCCTGATATCGATCTTCTTCTTCTTCTTCTCTCATGTGTGATGGACCCTGAATATGATCTCCGTCTTGTAGGTGAGTTAGAGCCTGATATCGATCTTCTTCTTCTTCTTCTCTCATGTGTGATGGACCCTGAATATGATCTCCGTCTTGTAGATGAGTTAGAGCCTGATATCGATCTTCTTCTTCTTCTTCTCTCATGTGTGTTAGACCCTGAGTATGATCTCCGTCTTGTAGATGAGTTAGAGCCTGATATCGATCTTCTTCTTCTTCTCTTATGTGAGTTAGATCCTGAGTATGATCTCCGTCTTGTAGATGAGTTAGAGCCTGATATCGATCTTCTTCTTCTTCTCTTATGTGAGTTAGATCCTGAATATGATCTCCATCTTGTAGATGAGTTAGAGCCTGATATCGATCTTCTTCTGTTCAATCTTCGTCTTTTGGCATGTGATTTAGGACTTGAATATAACCTTGTTATTCTAGAGGGTGATCTCTGTCTCGTGGAGTATCGCAACTGTGCCATGGCTCCTGAATAAGATCTTTCTCTGGACTCTGATCTAGTTTTTCCATTTCTTAGTACAGATCGTGAACTGGGACTTCGGGTTGTAGTTAGCTCTCTCCCCTGTGTTGCTGTTTCAGCGGTCACTGCTCTGGATGTTGTCAGTGATCTTGCTGGACTTTGTGGGGACGTTGATCTCATCCTTATAGAGCCTGTCTGTCCATGTCCTGCAGTATGTACACCTGATAATGACACTGACATATTGTTTGAAGAGAATAAAGTGGGAGCATAAGGCATATCTGTAGTTTTCATTACTGGAGACACTCTTCTAGGCAACTCTGAGTCATAAGAGGACAACGAGACAATATCAAGGTTAGAGTTGTCATATGGGTTGCTGGGCAACTGACAACTTCTCTCTGAAACATGAGTGTTATCTCTTTGGTCTTTCTCTTGTGACGTTCTCAGGGATATCCCAACTGTCTGTGGCTGTGAAATATTGACTGCTGAAGGTTCAAAACTGCTTGTAAGATTCAGTTCCTGAAGGTCAGTTGAAGCTCTTTGCCTTCTTTTCATCTCAGATAGTTTTCCCTCATCAAGAATCTGTTTCACGTTTAAAGTTTTAGTCATATCTGACCCAGCACAAGAAAAAATACCCATATATACAAAATATACAATTTTGTATATTTGATATTTCCAAAATATACAATTTTGTATAGTTGGTATTTCCAAAATATACAATTTTGTATATATAGTTAGATTTTACCACTGCTTCATTCAATTTCCTCACCACTTATAGAATGTTTCACATAATGTGGTTGCAAAGTTTACTAATGATACCGAACAGTATAATTATTGCATGTGACAATAATGCTTTAATACTATTTTCATTATGACAACTATATGATGTTATGAAATAATTTGTATTTCGTTATGTTTTACAGATCTTAATAACAGTTTGATCAATATAAAATGCGTACGCCAGCAACAAGTAGTTGAAAGTAGTTTTAAACATTGATGTTTATCGTTCCAAAGCTCTGTTCTCCAGCTCAGTTCATCTTTGTTTACGAGAACGTTTTTAATATGGGCAATTTTCTTCTTTCGGGACATTGGAGCAGTCATAATATACATAACATCATAAATATTAAGATTACAGGCAATTTTAACAACTTTAGTACTCCATGAACTTTTACATAGTAACCATTGTCTTCATCAAAGCGTTACAAGTACTGTTATTAAATCTTGGGGGAGTCTAAAAACATTAGCATGTAATGTAACAAACGGGGAGGAGAGACCCATGTCTCCATTAGTGGCTATACATGGAGGTACCGTTACTAACACCAAGAAATAATTTACCGGCTCTATTTTGGATTAGATTAACGTTTTATCCTCATATACCAGAGCCATAGATCATTACCGGCTCAACAAGACTTTCATACAGTTTCATAAAAAACATCATACATCATACACCCAACAGAATAAGACAAAGCATGGCTGGCAAAGTTGTACAACTATTTCACAGTTTCACATATCTAGATGCTCGTCAACCCGTAGTCCCAGATAACGATATGATTCTACATATCTACCAGTGTTTGCCCAGCGTAGAGGAATCTGGTTAATCTGTATCACTTAACGAGTTTGAATAGCTTACTCTTCCCACAGTCGAGAGCAGCACAGTAATTAGTAGTTTAGACCAGGCGAATACACTGGTCACACTTGACTGGTCTGTCTGATGATTCGGTCACCTGCCAAATGGGATGTCTGACAATTGGGTGTGAACCTTACAGGGGAAGTTATTTTATGAATGCGTCACGTGTTTCAAAAGAGATGACCATTATCTAAGTAAAATACTTCTAAGATCATAAAGGACATAACATTTAATAAAGTGAAATTCATTTTCGACAAAATTTTATGAACAATTTTAAAACAGTGCGGGCAGATTCTATTTTCTAAAAGGTTTGGGGGGTTGTAAATCGTCCTGTTTCGATCCAGATCTAAAACTAGCTAAAATGCGACGGTGGTCCCTGTATTTAAAACATAAGGAGCAACAACGTTACGATCATAAAAGTTCTTAATGTATTGCCCTTAACGTTATGTTTATCGTTCCAAAGCTCTGTTCTCCAGCTCAGTTCATCTTTGTTTACGAGAACGTTTTTAATATGGGCAATTTTCTTCTTTCGGGACATTGGAGCAGTCATAATATTCATAACATCATAAATATTAAGATTACAGGCAATTTTAACAACTTTAGTACTCCATGAACTTTTACATAGTAACCATTTTCTTCATCAAAGCGTTACAAGTACTGTTATTAAATCTTGGGGGAGTCTAAAAACATTAGCATGTAATGTAACAAACGGGGAGGAGAGACCCATGTCTCCATTAGTGGCTATACATGGAGGTACCGTTACTAACACCAAGAAATAATTTACCGGCTCTATTTTGGATTAGATTAACGTTTTATCCTCATATACCAGAGCCATAGATCATTACCGGCCTCAACAAGACTTTCTTACAGTTTCATAAACAACATCATACATCATACACCCAACAGAATTAGACAAAGCATGGCTGGCAGAATTGTACAACTATTTCACAGTTTCACATATCTAGATGCTCGTCAACCCGTAGTCCCAGATAACGATATGATTCTACATAGACCAGTGTTTGCCCAGCGTAGAGGAATCTGGTTAATCTGTATCACTTAACGAGTTTGAATAGCTTACTCTTCCCACAGTCGAGAGCAGCACTGTAATTAGTAGTTTAGACCAGGCGAATACACTGGTCACACTTGACTGGTCTGTCTGATGATTCGGTCACCAGCCAAATGGGATGTCTGACAATTGGGTGTGAACCTTACAGGGGAAGTTATTTTATGAATGCGTCACGTGTTTCAAAAGAGATGACCATTATCTAAGTAAAATACTTCTAAGATCATAAAGGACATAACATTTAATAAAGTGAAATTCATTTTCGACAAACTTTTATGAACAATTTTAAAACAGTGCGGGCAGATTCTATTTTCTAAAAGGTTTGGGGGGTTGTAAATCGTCCTGTTTCGATCCAGATCTAAAACTAGCTAAAATGCGACGGTGGTCCCTGTATTTAAAACATAAGGAGCAACAACGTTACGATCATAAAAGTTCTTAATGTATTGCCCTTAACGTTATGTTTATCGTTCCAAAGCTCTGTTCTCCAGCTCAGTTCATCTTTGTTTACGAGAACGTTTTTAATATGGGCAATTTTCTTCTTTCGGGACATTGGAGCAGTCATAATATTCATAACATCATAAATAATGAGATTACAGGCAATTTTATCAACTTTAGTACTCCATGAACTTTTACATAGTAACCATTTTCTTCATCAAAGCGTTACAAGTACTGTTATTAAATCTTGGGGCAGTCTAAAAACATTAGCATGTAATGTAACAAACGGGGAGGAGAGACCCATGTCTCCATTAGTGGCTATACATGGAGGTACCGTTACTAACACCAAGAAATAATTACGGGCTCTATCGTGGATTAGATTAACGTTTTATCCTCATATACCAGAGCCATAGATCATTACCGGCTCAACAAGACTTTCATACAGTTTCATAAAAAACATCATAAGACATACACCCAACAGACAAAGCATGGCTGGCAGAATTGTACAACTCTTTCACCTGTTTCACATATCTAGATGCTCGTCAACCCGTAGTCCCAGATAACGATATGATTCTACATAGATCAGTGTTTGCCCAGCGTAGAGGATTCTGGTTAATCTGGTTAATCTGACTGTTGGAATATTATCTTTGCATTATCCTGTCTAAAAATCTAGATATATTTACAATATCATGTATGCATTTTTGAATCATTGTATTCCGGAGTGGTCTTCATATAAACTTCTTGACCAATCCGCTTCATGTACATTTTCAGAAAAACAGAACATAACATGGGAATACCGTTCGAATTGAGCCTCGCTCAATTTCCCTGTGCGCTGTGATTTTTTAATTATTTTTTTTAAATGAAAATTTTACAGGGACTAGCTGTGCTACCACACATGTTAAACCATTTTTACAGTTTTGTCTAATTTTAGCGATAATGAAAACTGAGTAGAGGTAAGATATATTGATGAACAACGTCTTTATTACAGTTAGGAGCGACGCTTAGGTGTATGTTGTAACACCATTATCAAGCAAGTGATGTTGTTCATCCACAGATCTTATCCTCTCTCAATACTCCAACTTCTAAATTCCTCGCAAAGAAGATAATGATACTTGTTTTGAATCTTGCCATCGTACAAAATATTCTTCGCACAGTATTCAAAAAACAATGTAATATTAATATCATACTACGCCATCAATATATGTTGTGCAATATTTGAGAGGTTGGCGCCTGTCGGGACGGTGTGTGATGCTAAAACTGTTCTTGTATAGTCTAGTATCCTTTGGCTAGTGACATCTACCACTGTTTATTCCCATTCAAGTTGCTAACGGTGTTTCATCTAAACAGTATTATGGGAACGGAAATTAAAACATTACTTCATTCGTTATGCTGCCATTTTTGAATATATGTCCATGAGATTAATCTGTTCATTTTTCCGTATTTTTATTACGGAACTTATAGCTTTGTGTGGCACAAACGATCAAATAGTAAGATGACTACAATTAAAGGGCATTAATAACGAGAGGCTGTTCACATATATGTACATCATATATGTATCACGCGAATCATTTCTGATTTTACTCGACGTAAGAGCTAGAAACGTTACCTACTTCCGGCGCAGCGGTTCTAGATGTTGGCGCTATCTAGATTGGGTCCCTGACACATGCAGCTCTATTTGTTGGGTGTATTGTACTTAATAAGCTGAACTTTTATAAATCTATTTTTTCCAAATATATACTGGTCACTCCAACTAATCATTGTTACTGAAATATATAGGATTGTTGTCTATAACGTGTCCATTCGTATGTCTGTTTCACGTCTGTTCTACTAATTATTGACACTAAGAAACTCGTACAATTTTTTAAATCATTACTAAACGTGTTGTACTTGTCTACATCTGAATTGAAAAGTGGGAGAAAAGTTGCTTACTGTATTTTGCCGCCTTTGATGGTTCTGATGATCAAGATGACAACGTCAAAATCTAAGTGTTCAGGAGTCGATGAGGATTCAGGAGTTTTTGAATTGATGCAGAATCAAGGTTGGGGGTTATTATAGGCCTAATAGTGCACCACGTGATTTATGTCCAGGCCCCCGTGACATGCAGTTGTCATGTGACATGTAATTAACTAATTGAATTGCAAAAACAATTCCGACAGCAAATAACCGCATCCACAACAACAATGCGTGGATGCAAAGAAAGAAACCATTTTAAACCCCTTTCTGTATATTTGTATTTGTATTCCTTTCTGAAACTATCATTCTACAAACAGTTGTGTTCACCGCCCATTGTGATACTTCTACTCAAGAAAATAAAAAAGGATGTTTATTTAGTCATCTGACATGCGTTCATTGTAAACAAGGATTAGTGTGAAAGGATTACTAAGTTTGTCATCCAGTATAATGCACTTCCTCGATTAGCATAATTAGAACAGATTTTGTAATTAGTTATATCCTGACTCCAGTTAACCAAGGCAGCTACATCAGTTGTGATTTATGAATTTGTGGAATCTTAATGAAAATAACGACCGCCTGTCACAAAAATGCAAACGAACTATGAACACGCACAGTTGCAGATTTTCCTTTCGTACATTTGAGGGTAAACGTGAACGAAGCCGTGCAAGATGCTTTACAGCGATTTGTTTTCAGAACACATATTGAGCTCAGGTAAGTTTATTAATGATGATATTTTCATCCATTCATAGATATGGCGATCATGAGCGCTGACACTATATGTATTCGCAATAGAACATTTGGAAGACTAGACACAAATTGAGTCACAATATGACAACATCAAATCAAAGAATTTGTTTAATGCAACAGATTTAAGGCATTGAAATTGTACATTATTATGAAATACATGAGTGTCGCTACGTCTCATGTCAAATACATCAATGAATTCTTTATAAACAAAATTAATTTAATATTACTATGAATTTATAGCTAAAATTATGGAGTCTTGCATGTCGAGCCAACAAACCATAGTACATATTCTTCACATTGGAATTTCTGTTTACTGTGCTTGCGGTGGGGTCAACCCTATTCCCAAAATGGACAGTTCCAAATACTACTGCATAAAATATTAATGCCAATTTGGAGAAAATTACCAAATGAATGAATGCAAGTAAAACTTAATCCAGGGAAAAAGAAAACTGTTCAATATCACGTCAAAGTGTGCCCAAGTGCAAAACCTAATCTTAAAATGAAAGGACTTTGGTATTAATATTTCAGTCAGATTATGATATTGGCGAGTTAACGAGGTAAGCCCTATGATTAATTGTCTTAAATACCTTTCTGGTGTCCACCGCCGTGAACCATACTCAATCACTCAGATAAATAACCCCTTTTACATAAGTCATGAACAAGAATATATATATTGCCAATATTTTGCTCCCATGTTTTGGATAATTGTACCAAAGAAAAAGAATTAATCCTAGAATGTCTACACATTAATTCATTACGGACGCTGAAATAATGCCGATGAGACGTTAATTTTTACCTCGCCCACTCACTGATTACGGACTATTTGTGGGCCAATAAGAGGTACAAGCCACGTGAAAATGTAGAGTGAGACCAACGTAGCCATTACACCTTTTTACAAGATGGAAAACATCTTTGCTGTTAGTGATTACATATAAAGAAATCTAACCAATTCACAGGCTATACGTTGTAGAACTGAATGCAAGTCATTCCTACCTGATACCATTAATAATTGGAATAGTCACCGGAAAAAGAGGATTATTAAACTTAGACAATGTTATATTCAGTTAAGCCATGATACCAGATTTTTTCACTTTAAACTTCCATCGGCTTAAAAAACACATCTCAGATAACACATCATGCATGCTCTTGTGGCTGTCACAATGGTACACTGCATTAATTTTTACACATGCCCCAACTACAATATATTTAGGAACGATTCTATTCTAAAGGTTAAGTGAGTTTCTAATCAGTGGTTTATTGGAAACAATTTGAACAGTGCCTAATTTAGCTATTTTGAAATCGGCCATGTACATCCGACGTTCGGGTGGATTTGCACATATATAATAACTAGTAGTAAGACTTAATACATACTTTGAGACACGTATTAAGTATTAAAGAGTTAAATAACTTTTCTTAGGAAACCCCTTTCCATCAACCGCACTGTTGACCTATCTTTTTTGTTCTGTTTTGATGTATTGATGTATCATTTAATACAATATGTATATCTCCCCTCATCCCAATGTTAATAAAAGGAAGCTTGGTGGGGACTTTTGGGATATAAGAAATGAATACAGACTGCCATATTGTCTGAATGTCTTAACAATCACCGGGTGTGACCACGTAGACAGGATATCATTCGGGTTTCTCATAATTACTCCATGAGCATGCTTGGTATTGTAGCTTGGGGATATTAAATGTAAGTTTGTTATCAGAGGAGATTGATAGTGAACTTTTAGTACCAGTTAGATATGATATCTATATGACTTCTTTCTGTTTGACAAAGGATTAAGGGTAAATGTGTGGGTAATCCTTCCACGCTGATGAAAGAAAGTCACTCTACTAGTTCATGTAATCTACGTCAAATAAGATCAGAACACATGCATTATTACAACATACTCAGGATACCAATAACAACGAAATGTACAAATTAACAAACATGATCAATATTATTATTACATGTTAATGCCATGTATGTAAATATAGCTATATAAACATATGTTTAATTTTTCAGCTTGTGTGAAGTCGTCCTTAAATACAAGAAAACGTATATTTTCCCAAAATTATATTACCCTCAAAAGGGCAATTATATTCATGTTACATTTTTTCAGTCTCTTTTTTAATTCGAATGACGTAACATTTATGTTACTTTGATTTTATTAGACCCATGTTGTTGTTACAGACCCAGGGATTGACTAGGTTCATTACATGTCATAAAAGTGCCAGGACATAATATGGTGGCAATACATTCTCTAATTAACACGTGTCACAAAGGGACGGGCAATTTGGGTTTGTCCTCAGGGAATGTGTTATGCAATTTGTGTATTCACGAAATAACATTCAACAAATTATGTACATGGTCCTGTGATGTAGGATTGATGCATTCGTACTTTTTATAAATAAATGAATTGCATTTTTTTTCTTAACCGTGTGCGAAATACGCATAATGTCGGAAAGCGCAAGTTAAATACTGACTTCATCCCAAAATAAATCACAAACCCTCTCTTATAATTTGTATATTATTCTATATTTTAATTATGTAAATCACGTTCCTGTCACTTTTAAAGTAGAATACGTAAGTCACTCAACCAATTCCATTATTATTTTCCCAAAGATCAAAGATTAAAGCAGTTATCAAGATTTATTTTCCATATCTTTAAAAATACTTAATCTTTACATTGAAACTGCCATCATGATGTATTATTATTATTATTATTATTATTATTTTTACTATTATTATTGATGTACATATGGTTTGCACCCAACCATGCGCGTGCCAAATTATACAGCGTCTAGCTTTTAGAGCGCCAACTAAGTTTTCCAAAGTAGAAATTAAGCCAAATGAATATATATCAAGTTTCCTTTTGCTAGAACATATGCATGCTGTTGTGTTTTTTCAAGGTAATCTTCGTTCTCGCATTGATAACAATATTAAAAGAACAAGTATTATAAAATATAATACGGGAATATACTACACATGTTATTTACTCATCCGGTTGCTCATAATACAATTTTCCCCAAGGACTACCGTTTTACAAAACGCGATTTTCCGCGTTTCCGCCGAGATTTCACATTATAACAATGTATATCTACAATGAAACCGACAGCTCAGAACAAACCAAATTCAACACTTTTAAGTAGTGATAAAATAGTTTTCATCTTCTGTGCAATCCACTCTGTTGGCATATGTGCACGAGAGCATGTTACAAAACACATCGCGGCCTCCCCGTAAAACAAATCCAAGCTCAAACACTTTCAATACAGAAGTTACCGCCAAAGCAATCGCCCCCGACAGCTAATCCCCTCTGTGCATTTGGCCATAAAGTCTACTCACATGCCAAGCACCGCGCCAGGAAAAGTACCAGACGCCTCAACCGCCCACCCGTCAATATCATTGCAAGGACAGTATGTACTCCCGCAAACAGTGTGGAGTACTAATTAAACCTTCCAGTAATGTTACCCGCCACTACATCAGTTTTTTGTAACTTGCTGATACTATTTTGCACAAACAAAACATTTATAGAGCAATTCATAGCAATTATCCTCCTTTACCAACATATACAAAGAAACACAGTGCTCGACTTAAAACACTTCAATTTGCACATATATCATAATTATACACAAATACATAATAATTATCTCCCTTTACCAATATATACAAACAAAACAAATTTGGATACACCATATATACAAATTTGTATATTTTGTATATGTCATATATACAAACTTGTATATTTTGTATATATCATCTTTCCAATCTTGTATATCCTTTGGAAATATCATCTTTCCAAAGGATATACAAGCTTGTATATATGGATTTTTTTTGCAGTGCAGGGGTGGGACTGCCACTGACCTTTCTCTTCTTTGGGGACGTTGGTCCTGACACATCCAAAGAGTCTGGTGAACTTGATTTTGAACCTGATCCTGACCTTTTCCTGGACCACCTTCTCACATAAATGTGTTGAGCTGTCACCTTGGTACCGCCTGATGAAGGGGATTCTGAAACTGATCTCTGTCTTCGATGGGACCTGTTGCCTGATATTGATCTGCTTCGTCTTTCATGTGAGTAAGATCCTGAATAAGATCTCTGCCCATGTGATATTTGGCCTGATATTGTTCTGCTTCTTCGTCTTGCATATGAGTTAGATACTGAATATGATCTTCGCCTTGGGGGGGATCTATGGCCTGATGTTGATCTGCTTCTTTGTCTTTCATGTGACTTAGATCCTGAATTTGATCTTCGCCTTGGGGGGGATCTATGGCCTGATATTGATCTGCTTCTTCGTCTTTCATGTGACTTAGATCCTGAATATGATCTTTGCCTTGGAGGGGATCTATGGCCTGATATCGATCTGCTTCTTCGTCTTTCATGTGACTTGGATCCTGAATATGATCTTCGCCTTGGAGGGGATCTATGGCCTGATATCGATCTGCTTCTTCGTCTTTCATATGAGTAAGATCCTGAATTTGATCTTCGCCTAGGAGGGGATCTATGGCCTGATATTGATCTGCTTCTTTGTCTTTCATGTGGCTTAGATCCTGAATATGATCTTCGCCTTGGAGGGTATCTATGGCCTGATATTGTTCTGCTTCTTCGTCTTGCATATGAGTTAGATCCTGAATATGATCTTCGCCTTGGAGGGGATCTATGGCCTGATATTGATCTGCTTCTTCGTCTTTCATGTGACTTAGATCCTGAATATGATCTTTGCCTTGGAGGGTATCTATGGCCTGATATTGTTCTGCTTCTTCGTCTTGCATATGAGTTAGATCCTGAATATGATCTTCGCCTTGGAGGGGATCTATGGCCTGATATTGATCTGCTTCTTCGTCTTTCATGTGACTTAGATCCTGAATATGATCTTCGCCTTGGAGGGGATCTATGGCCTGATATTGATCTGCTTCTTTGTCTTTCATGTGACTTAGATCCTGAATATGATCTTTGCCTTGGAGGGGATCTATGGCCTGATGTTGATCTGCTTCGTCTTTCATGTGAGTTAGATCCTGAATTTGATCTTCGCCTTGGAGGGGATCTATGGCCTGATGTTGATCTGCTTCGTCTTGTATGGGAGTTAGATCCTGAATTTGATCTTTGCCTTGGAGGGGATCTATGGCCTGATGTTGATCTGCTTCGTCTTGTATGGGAGTTAGATCTTGAATAGGGAATTTGTCTTATAGGGGATCTATTGTCTAACATTGATCTTCTCCTTCGCCTTATGACATGCAAGTTAGACCTTGAACATGACTTCCGCCTTGATGGAGATCTAGAGCATGACATGGATCTTCTCCTTCGCCTTCTGACATGGAAGTTAGACCTTGAACATGACCTCCGCCTTGATGGAGATCTAGAGCATGACATGGATCTGCTCCTGTGCCTTGGTCTCCCGGCATGACAGTTAGACCCGGAATATGATCTCTTTCTTCTGCCTCTACCACAAATGTTCTCCCCTCTTAAGTCATCGGTAGAATCTGACCAGGAATCAGTGAATTTGCCAGGTGCAGTTGTACAAGAGTCGGATGTCAATTCTGACGAAGTAAATATGGTTGAGCCACTGAGTCGTCTCGTGTGATTCTGGCGACCGACCCGTATGACTGGACTGCCATCACTAGTTGATACCAGGTCCATGTCCGAGTCATCTGGAGCTCTGTCCCGTTGAGGAGATAGTAAACATGGTGGTATGGAGCTGCTCATGTTGCCTCTATCCTGATCTTGAAGCCTGTATGCAATGAGAAACTGATTGTTCACACAATAATCATGGCATATCATACCTACACAGGGATTTAGCCAGGATATTAAATGAGGTTCCCCCAGCAGGCAATTTGGGAAAAATAGTTTTGTCCAAAATAGGGATTTTTAAAAGTTTTCATCTTTTAATTCAGAGGTAGGCCAATTTTAAAATTGTAATTTGCATTCAGTGCAATAACATATAACTGAGCATTACAACCCTTTCCTATTTATTCGTCCTGTTGTCAAAAAAGACAAACAATTATCTATTTGTTAATAACATAAATTGGGAAATTTTTAGGAATTTTTAATGACATTTGCTGCAGTCTTTGGGCTGAATATCAGCCTCTATGCAGCTCTAGATAAATCCCTGATATATTTCAACAGACTAAGATATAGCCTCATGATAATTCTCTAGCTGCTCTGGATTATATAGGAATATCATACTTGATCAAAAAAGGTCATAAAATTTCTGAGTCCCGTGATGGGATTTGAACCACGGACCTTCTGATCAAAGGTCGGACACCTAGACCACATGACCGAAGAGGTTAACCCCATCAGCAAGCTGACAAGGTAAGAATGTCATCTATGGGATGACTCCACACCCTTCTACATTCTCATGGCTTATGGCTTACTATTACAACTATTGGCAGCTACAGTGGAACTTGAAGGTTTAAGGTTGAAGCTTAAAATAAATGAATGTTACACCATGGAGGAGATAATTAAAAATGTAATTTGTTTAACTGGAGAGGTGTGTGTAATCTTGTAGCATGTGCTGTAAGACATATATGCTTATAATGAACTTTGTTTATAACAAACTAAACTTTGTGGTCACTTTGTGATTGTTATAACTGTAGCTTACTGTAGTTTGAATTTATCACATATAGGCTAGGTGTGTGAGTGAGTGAGTTTGGTTTTACGCCGCTTTTAGCAATATTCCAGCAATAACACGGCGGGGGTCAACAGAAATGGGCTTCACACATTGTACCCATGTCGGGAATCAAAACCCGGGTCTTCGACGTGCCGAGCGAACGCTTTAACCACTAGACTCCCCCCGCCCAACATATGGGCTTGGCTGGGATGGGTCCCCGGGTCGGTCCTTAGCAGGACCTGTGTACCAATAGGACTATCTGGACCTGTGGTTATTTACATGATATTTTGTCAATGACAATAACAAAAAATGCCCATGGAACATCGCTAATTTCTTTTGGATTATGCATGCGTTCCTTCTGACTTTTATATGTTTCAGTAAACAGGCGTTCCTATCTGAATATAGAGCATGGAATGGGTTAACATGAAGGCATGTTGGTAGCATAGCTTCTGCAGTAGAACCAAATACATTTACAATGCGAACGAAAAGAAACACCATCGGATTTGACCGTGGCAGAACAGGTGCAAAGGTGCTACGTACGGGAACATCTGTCAAACGTATTGGAATAACTTCAGCTGTGTCTGTCAAAAGCGGAGCGTAGTTAATTGACAAAACACTTTTTCCAGAAAAACAGCGAGTGAGAAATGGCGGGGATAAAAAAATATTTGAAGCAAAGTAATTACTTTTGGTTTTTCTGACTCAAAGTCCTGACTATAAGCATCAAATCCATTGCATTGAGCAACCAGTTTTCATATGCATCAGACTTTGATATCTAAAGTGGAAGACATGTTTTCTTGTATGAGTTATCAGTCAGGTATCGTCTCCGAACATGCTGAAGATGACATCTCGCCCTTCCGCCCATCATAGGGTGTCAGTTAACACACCTCTCATACATGATGTTGTCACAACGTGAAATTGTTTGCTGAGTATAGAGTAAATATGGACTCCTCTAATACCTAATGTAAGTCAATAGTTCGGAGATGTACTGTCTTGACGTCTGCTGACCCGTAAGATTGAGGACATGACAGCTTGATTTTGGCCGGCCTTTCTCATAACTTGTCGGCCCAAGACTCGTGTTGCTGTCAAGGCGTAATAATTATAAGTGGTAATCATCATATTCCTTGAACGAATTGTCAACTAGTTTTATACGTATCTGTCGTAAACTCGACCACTTACTACTGTCACTTTGCATATGAATATAACGCCGCCCAGTAATTTGGCCTCGGCCTTACCTGGCCGTGACGTCCTCTGCAGTTTCATCTGATAAACATGTGATCACAGACAGGAGCGCCTGAACATGGTTTAGATTGCGTTTCCCTTCGTGTCATTTGTTTGTAGCTTAAGAATACTGTGTGACCATTCGTTGACAGTTCATTATCACTCACTGACACGCTATATGTATAAAACAACGCGAGAAACATCCACACAACGTCGTGATCAGCGACAACATTCGCAATGTTTACATCGCATTCGGCCCCGATCGGGATTATATCGGTTTCTTTCGGAAGATCTCCAGTTGTGATTGTAAAAATCACAACTGGGAATATGGGATAACATGATTTACATATACCGATGTATAAAATGTCATATCAAATATGTTTCTCAATTTCACATAAAACATGTACTGTTTCAACGTGGAATTTCTATGACGTATTTAAAAGTAACCCTCGACCTTAGGCTATTTTTAGAACAGGGAAGCCATGGCGAACGTGAGGACGTTTGGTCGCCAAGGTGTAAGAGCTTTGAGATGTTTGCGGTTCAGTCAAAGAGAGGACATTGCCAGGTTTGTGGGATGAGATAGTTTTTCTTACGATAAGTGTTTTTTAGTTGACAGATTGGTTTGATTGTAGCCTCGTCTGATATAAACATTCTGACACAGTCCGAGAAATATTGACATGGACAGCTCAGGACAAGGTCGCTGACCTATGTTTTGTTCTAACATTGATAGGAAAAGTCGGTCACCTTATTCTTATATAATTTGTAAAATATATAACATACACAATTCTTTACAATCACCAGTGATAATCATTTAATGTTTCTCAGACTAATAGGTTAGCGAAAATGAACCGAGGATTCATTATTTCGTAAGCAGGTAGTGGTAGAGGCTATTTACGACAGAGCTTTCATAATCAACCGGTATATATATATATATATATATATGGGCTAGCTGGTGTAACCATCGATATTTCAACTGTGTAGGCCGGTGCTTTTGTAATCAGAGAAAACAACTCAAAGCAAATAGTGTATAGTTAAGTAACAGATAATGAACTGGTAGTCCAAAAAAATTTGATCTGTGAAGATCCGAGGTAGAATAGGTCTTCAGCAACCCATGCTTGCCATAAATTGCGACTGTGCTTGTTGTAAGAGGCGACTAACAGGATCGGGTGGTCAGGCTCGCTGACTTGGTTGATGCATGTCATTGTATCCCAATTACGTGGAACGATGCTCATGATATTAATCACCGGATTGTCTGGTCTAGACTCTATTATTTACAGACCGCCGTCAACAAATGTTTGTACAAGTATCACTTGTTCCCAACTTGTATTTTCATGATTCAAATAAAACTGTTCTCTGTAAAAAATCCAGGCACCCTCCCCAAGTGTTAATAAATTGCCATTCTGGTTAAAACAGATTTCATTTACACTGGACTGAACAATAAAGACAGTAACAACAGATGTGTATAGATATATCTTTGATCTGTATATGGAATAAGTATTACAAGTTTTCTGTCACCAGGTTACATTTTAGTTTGTATCTAATCTATATGTCACTCATGATAGTTCAAGTAATTTGGATGTAAATGTACAAATATATTCAGCCAAATGTGCATATAGCGAAACTCTAAAAAAGTCCAAGCTATGACACCTAACTATTGGGCAGTTTGGCCAAGGAGTATTTGTTGAACCTTGTGATATATGTCACAAACAATACAGTGTGTTGCAGAAATATAGATCAGCTGATAGATATTTCAGTGTTTTAAGTTCATATAAATTCTAGTCAGCTGGACAGGCAAGTCTTAATAAATTGCCATTCTGGTTAAAATGTTGTCAGTCAGACCAGATTTCATTTACACTGGACTGAACAATAAAGACAGTAACTACAGATGTGTATAGATGTATCTTTGATCCGTACATGGAAAAAGTATTGCAAGTTTTCTGTTACCGCATTACATTTTGTATCTATATGTCCCTCATGACAGTTCATGTAAATGTGACCGCCTCTGTGGTCTAGTGGTAGAGCGTCCACCTGGAGAGTGGAAGGTCCAGGGTTTGATCCCCAGCCGCGTCATACCAAAAGACGTTAAAAGAGGGTTTGTTACCCTGTCTGGCGCTCGGCATAAAGGGGCTAAAACAAGTCAGCACGACAGAAACTAACAGTTTTCATCCACTAGTCCTTTTAATGGTAACATATAGTAAAACCCTTAAAAATGGCATTTTTCTACTAGTCATTATGATACCTTTACCATTGGGCAGTTTGGCAAGGACTACAGGACTAGAGCCAATTTCTAATACTGGTCAGTATACAGTGTCTGAGTGGGGTATTCATGTTAAACTGCGGCATGGTATCTCAGTGAGCTAGCACTATAAATCATCATTAGTCCGGCCTAGTACAGGCGGCTACACACACACACACACATGCATGCACGTTGCTATATAAGTGCAGTAATGTTGGCAGCGACGTTAAACCCAATTTCACCTCACCTCATGTAAATGTACATTTATATTCAGCCAACTGTGCATGTTGTAAAAGCTCCCCTTCCAAGACAAAAACAAATCATCTCGGACCTAAACACTGGAGCAGTAACATTAACAGCAATAGAAACAAACAAATTTTCTATTCCACCATGTCCACTAGTCCTTAAAGATAGGGGCGGTCTTGGAGTCCAGTGGTTAAAGCGTTCCCTCATCATGCTGAAGACCCGGGTTCGATTCCCGACATCTTGGACATGGTACAATGTGTGAAGCCCATTTCTGTTGTCCCCCGCCATGATATTGCTTGAATATTGCTAAAAGCGGCGTAAAATCAAACTCACTCACTGACTCCTTATTAAGATAACACATAGCGAAACCCTAAAAAAAGGTCCAAGCTATGATACCTAACTATTGGGCAGTTTGGCAAGGCCTATTTGGCTAACGCCAATTTCTATTGCTGTGTTAATAAAGTAAAGCCATTCTTTAAAGAAAACAGAAAAGGACACCAAGATTAAATGTCATGTGACCTGCAGTGCAGTACTTCAAAGTGAAGAGTGAGTTGTGTTTAACACCGCTTTTAACAGTATTCCAGTTATATCACGGCGTGAAAGCTTAATGTGGGAGGAAAGCCCGAAGTGATGCAGGCCGCAGACCTTTAGCACTTCGGTGAAACCCACGAGCACGGGTATGGTGCTGACAAACCTAGAAACATAATTGGGGCGAACCGGGATTCAAACCCACAATCATAGGTTTCTGGCATGCCCAAGGGACGCAACTCTGCGAAGCGAATCGCGGCGCCTTAGATGACTGGGCCATCCGTGCCCCCTCAAAGTGCAGATTACAAATCCAGGGGTAGTGCACATTACTGGGCACCCTTTATCAGATTTCAACTAACGCTGCAGTAGACTTGTGGTACTGTTTTTATTCATATCCTTGTGCCTCCATTTCTAATAATAATTTGCCAGTATGATCGTTCTCTGCTCCTTTCCTGCAGATGCATGTGTGGTGCCTTGCTGACTCAACAACCCAGGACATGTGGAGACCTCATGCTGTCAGATATTCAGAGGCGGCATCTCTTTTCTTTACCTAAACTTGGTGGGGTGCTGTCACCATCGAACAAAAGAAAGGATTATTCAGAGCGAAGGATACTGGGGTAAGAACAATCTCCTACCCAGAGTTCCATGCGGCTGGCAGCCAGCCAGCATAGTACCTCTGCCACAGGCCAGCGCCATGTGACGATTTGTCACATCCTTCACAGTCCATTCAAGATATTGCGTATGCTTTTCATCAATTTCATTTTTGACAAGTTTTCACATTTTCATGTACAAATGTCAAAGAATTGTTACGGTTCATTAAGAAAGTATCCTAAAACGTGCAAATCTTATTGTTTTTGCGTAGTTATCCTTTGTTTACATTGGATGTACGGCTCCACATGCTGTCATCGAAGCCCAACGGAGAGCTAGCGATACGGTCACTTTGATGTATAAATATATCTTGTCATGGTTCTGTGACGTCACATGTGATGCTTTCATGAGCATCGGTCAGTATGTTCGTTTTGTGCATTGAACCATTCTAATATATCTTGAATATATATCTCATTTATTAACCAACATGTATGATATTCGCATTTCTTTTGGCAGTGAGTATATTTCTGTAATAGTTATACATTTCTGCCTCCCAGACATTACTGTCTTTCTTCTTGTTTAACGCTGCACTCAGCAATATCCCAGCTGTATGACAGTGGTCTGTAAATAATCGAGTCTGGACCAGACAATCCAGTGATTGACATCATGAGCATCGATCCACGCATTTGGGATACGAAGACATGCATGAACATGATGAACCAAGTCACTAGGCCTGACCACCCGATCCCATTAGTCGCCTCTTACGACAAGCATAGTCTTCTTACAACAAGCATGGGTTGCTCAAGACCTATTCTGTGATGTCCACAACTGGTTTGTCTGGCCGAGATTCGAAAATAAGAAAATATGAACATGATGAATGATAAGGTCTTGTTTTATATTGCCAACAGTTAAGAATACTTTGAAAAGAAAGAAATGACAATAAAATGCCACTGTCAGCAATGGTCAGTGTCAGATTTTAAGATTTATGACATTTTTAAGGACTCCAACCAGGGCAAGTTTTTTATTTTTTACCACCAATCAATCCAAATAAAACTTTGAGATGATTAAACAAAATCTTGTACAGTGTATACAAGTGTTTTTTTTAGTTTTCTTTCACCTACCGACCAAATGTTTGACTTTCAAAATCCATAATCCTCCTCAAAAGATCTCACTAACTAAAATACCGTATTCGACGTAATAAGCGCCCACGGCGAGATTTGCTGATATATTGGCTAGTGAACAATCCCAATTAGCACCCCTTCCGACCCCTATTCGCGTATAATACGCACTCGTGTGTTCTGTGCACCCTTTATTATTGGCATTTAAATTCTGGAAACATATATCTGTCGTACATAAACATTTCAGGCTGTCAGCATAATTCACGAAATTTATCTTTCAACTCTGTTTTTTTTCACCAAAATAATATTCTAATAGGAGCCCCCTAATTTTGAGAGCGCCCCGGGCGCTTATTACGTCGAATACGGTACTGTTAAAGTGGTGTTTCCGCCAACTGACATGTTCTTGTTTGCAGGTACTCCATGGAGCAGATGTACACAGTGGTTGCTGAAGTTGACCAGTACAAGGAGTTTGTGCCCTGGTGCGTGGGGTCCTCCGTCACACACGCGAGGCCGGGGCATTGTCGGGCCAAACTAGAAATCGGCTTTCCTCCACTGCTTGAGAAGTACACTTCGTCTGTGACTCTTGCTAAACCCAACCTGGTCAGGGTGAGTTGGCTCCAGTCTTACGCTGGACTGTGTTAAGGATCTTCACAGGTCTATATCACCAGTTTTTGAACTTCATCGAATCCCTAATAGAATAATACTGCTGTTCAAATGAAAGCATTTGTGGGTCATTGTTAATATAGGTATGCAGTGTAATCAACGGACCCAACTGACAACATGCACACAGACACAATCGTCTCAGCCCTTCGTAATCCACCATCTTTACATCACAATCTCATAGAATATATATACATGCACAACATTGAATGATATAACAAATGCAAGGATACCAACCACACATGTGGACAAGCTTCTTCCCAGCGTGTGACACCTTCATTACTCTTGGTAACACCGCTGCCACCAGTGTGGGCACGGCCATTACAAGAATCTTGAAATTTGCCCCCTAACCCCAAATGTAGTAACATTTATACTGCTGTTTATGTCTTTGGGAATGCCATCACAGATAATTTTGAAAAGGTTTATGACTGACCATATTTCCAAGATGAATTTACCTTTTGGTTTATTTGATCAGATCGGTTCGAGATTGCAGACCTAACGGAAAATCAACCAACTTCTCCCTTACATTCTTACTATACCAATTACATGATAGTTGTAATGAAACAGAAATTCAAATTGACCAACAAACAAAATAATTTAGCTGATGTAAGAGTATTCGGCGTCACGTCAGTCATCACTTGTTTGTAAACATAACAGTCCGTCGGTTGTAAGTTCAACTCCAAGCATGGTTGTAGCCACCTATGACAGTGGGGATCTTTGACTGGTGGCAGCAATGGTATGGAGTATTCGTCACCACTCGCCCCTTTCCGTAACCTTCTCCTTCGTCAGGCAGTTAATGGAAGACCTCAGGCTTCTACAAATGATAATGCCCTGAAAAATAGCGTTACCCTTATAGTGACATCATTGTAGATGAAGACTGTGGCGGCGCTATTGATTGGTGTTATATTTAGGGTTTGTGAGTTCAGTCTACAGAATAGCTTTATGGCTACAGAGAATTAAGATCTTTGTGACATACAGAACTGCTGATAATAGATGATGAACGGATGAGGGGATACAAGAACGAATGCTTGTCATGAACCATAAGAGGTACAGGGTTTATATGTAAGCATGATAAGTAGTCTGGACTTGCTCCCTGTTTCAGTCGGAGTGTACTGAAGGCCGCCTGTTCAACCTGCTGGTGACGACCTGGAAGTTTAGTCCTGGCGTACCCGGCAACCCCCAGACCTGCACGCTCGACTTCTCGGTACGTCTTGTGATTATCATGTTTGTAAGGAGGCTCTTTAAGTGAGTGAGTTGAGTTTAATACCTGGCAACCCCCAGACCTGCACCCTTGAATTCTCGGTACGTCTTGTGATTATCATGTTTGTAAGGAGGCTCTTTAAGTGAGTGAGTTGAGTTTAATACCTGGCAACCCCCAGACCTGCACCCTTGAATTCTCGGTACGTCTTGTGATTATCATGTTTGTAAGGAGGCTCTTTAAGTGAGTGAGTTGAGTTTAATACCTGGCAACCCCCAGACCTGCACGCTCGACTTCTTGGTACGTCTTGTGATTATCATGTTTGTTAGGAGGCTGTTAAAGTGTGTTAGTGAGTTGAGTTTAATACCTGGCAACCCCCAGACCTGCACGCTCGACTTCTCGGTACGTCTTGTGATTATCATGTTTGTTAGGAGGCTGTTAAAGTGTCAGTGAGGTGAGTTTAATACCCGGCAACCCCCAGACCTGCATGCTCGACTTCTCAGTACGTCTTGTGATTATCATGTTTGTTAGGAGGCTGTTAAAGTGTGTGAGTGAGCGAGCGAGTGAGCAAGTGAGTTTAATGCAGCTTTGAACAGTATTTATTCAAAGTGCAATGAAGGCCTGTTAATGGTCAATTAGTAGTGGGACTCATGATCTTAATTTATTAAAATGCTTTTCTGTTCACTGTGAACATCATCGCCCCAGAAACCATTTGGCCTATATAGCTTAACACTTCACATGCTTGTTCCCACAAATGATGACACCTTAATTTAGTTAAGATGTTGAAATCTGTTTTTCAATATGGCCACTATGGCAGCCGTTTTGAAAAACCTATTTATGGCCATAATTAAATTGGTTTACACATATGTGTGTGTAGTTGGGAGGACTCAACTCATTTGTTCCATTTTTGTGAAATTTTACAGTTTTAGTCTGTTTTCAGTCGTACAAATGGGTATCTCTCATACCCTCACGTCTAGTCGCACGTTTAGAGGAAGCCAGAAGCTGGAATGTAACCATTAAACTTGTTTCCGTCCGGTTGCGCACGCACCTCCCTATGACATGTCACAAATCTCTCAGCGCGCCTCTGCGCTGGTCGCTCGAGAAAGTCTTTCGCGGTAGACTGCTAGTTTGTATTCTACTAGTACTTATCGCTTATCTACAGTTGTTCTAATAAAGTCATAATATGTCTTACCTGTAGACTCCTGGAATGTAATCCTTGGTAATCCATTGTTTGTGTTCAACGCGTGTTTCGCTGTTTGACAGTGATTCTACACGTGGCAATATGTCGGGCATTTGTGCCTCGTGTCAACGAAAACTGTCTAAAGTAGACCCTCACAAGTATTGTCCTTCCTGCATCATTAAGGACGGGTTTTCAACGTATTCGTGGAATAAACGTTGTAAAAAATGTGAGAACTTGTCTTCAATAAACTTTAACTTGTATCTTCGTGCGTTGGCGAAGCAGGCCGCTGACCAGCGCTACAAGCGGATATGGTCATCGGTTGGATCCTTGGACTCTGCACCCTCCGCATCAGGCCCTGGGGGTGGCGAGTCGACCACACCTCAGAAATCAGTTGAAAAAGACCCACCTCAGTCAACTTCAGCTTTCGACACGTGACTGTTCGCCTGCTGATGATACTACCCGCACGACTGGTCTTCGTCATTCGGTTGATCGAGAGCGTCACTCAGCCTCCCCCGTTACGACGGGACCGGGTGGTGACGAGGACCATGAGGGGACTACGGTCCCCAGTCGGTCCGCATCTCGTTCTACCAACGACGATAGGGACGTCGTGCGGGACGACAGTGGACACAGAAGTCGTTCCCGTTCAAGTCGGGACGACAGGATGAGTGCCTCGTCGTGAGACAGTACACGACACGAGGGCGTTCATCGTCATCGTGGTCGTCGAATGTACGATTCGGATACACCGCAGTCTCTTCAGTTTTCTCCTCCCGATGTCTTCAGAGCCATGGCTCACGATATGGACCAGAACTTTGGCTCTGCTCTGCCTCGGCAGAGCTTCTGCAAGCCGCCTGGTCGATCTCGTTTCCCGATCTCTGGCATGCCGTTTTCGTCACCCATGACTAGGGATTTGGACTGGGGGCTGCTCTTCAAGAGACCTGCACCCTCCACATTTGGAATCCATGGGCACTGCTGTTCGTCACCAGCTGCAAACGCTTGCTATGCTGTCGACAGCGATCAAGGCCCTCTCAGTGTACTTTGAGGTGAAAGAACCCCAGGACGAGGACGACAGGACGGTGCCATCGGTCCTCACCTGTATGCAACGGGGGATCTAGGACGTCCTCGCCCAGTTCCGATATGTATCGGGCCAGATTACTACGGCGCGTCGCCATGGTTACATCGACTGCACTGACCTACCTGATCGTCATGGCAGGTCACTCTTACGGGCCCCGTGGACATCGCAACAGTTGTTCGACGGTCGTACCAACGACGTTCTGGACAAGTACTCCAGGGAAGCCGAGCGTGACATCATCATTTCGGCTTCACCCAACCTGTCCAGACGGCCACCGGTTTCGAACGCCCCACGACGACGTTACCGAAACGAGAATGTGCAACAGGCTTTCCGTAGGGACGTGCCTCGACAGCCGTCCCGCAAGGGAGGTTCCGACAGGAAAGGTCGCCAGGTCTCCTTTTCCAAGTTTCCCAGAGGGGGAAAGTACCAGCGGGGGAGGAAGTGAGGTCCCTTCCCCCGCCGTCGCCGTGGTTGGAGTCTCCCCCGGTGACACTACCTTTAGACGAGCTACCGGTAGGGGGGCGACTTCGTCACTATGCCCACAAGTGGGTTTTCCTCAACGCAACATACCTCCAACCACCCGACACATTCAACTTGACATCCCTCAGCTCTCTGCGTCGGATGATATTACCGAACGACTTCCTCGTCTCGTTAGACCTTCAGGACGCGTATCTACATGTACCAATAGCTTCCGAGTTCCAGAAGTACCTCCGATTCGAATGCCAAGGTATGCATTACCAGTGGGCGGCCCTCCCGATTGGAATTTCTACGGCCCCGTGCTTTTTCACACGGATCATGAAGACGGTCGTAGAATGGCTCCATCGGCAGGCGATCAGGGTCGCCTTCTACCTAGACGTCGGGCTCCAAGCTCACCAGTTTACAGTAGCCCTTCAAGGTGAGTTGGCGACCACCCTGAGTCTACTACGGTACCTCGGGTGGATCGTCAACTTTCAAAAGTCGGACTTGGTACCACCTCGGGTTCTACAGTACATTAGGATACGCTTCCAGACGGGAGTCAATCTGGTCCAGGTACCTCAAGACCGTTGGGACAAGATTGTCAGCAGCGTTCCGTGACGTCTACATGCCTCGTCGTCGGTGCACACGTGACAGGAAGTCCTCGGCAGGGGTCCGGAAAATTTAAAATCCCAATCGGACATTTGCATTTAGGCCACGCCCCCTTCAAATAGCGTATTTTAGTACGACTTTTCACACACATTACAAGTTTACATATTCATAATATGATGAATTATGAATTGTATTAACCGGACAATTAATAACAAATAATATCATTTTAGATTTACATGGAAAACATACGTTTGTTTCTGTTATAATAACGATCTGTTAACGTAGTGAACGGTCTAATTAATATTCATGAGTTATATTCATGAGTCTGCTCAAGTGTACGCGTTGTAACATTTGGATCGAGACTATTATCCCATATTTGGTTATCACGTGACCTCACGGGAAAGGTTTTTTTTAAACTAAAAGATTTTTTTTAAAACAAGACAGATAATTTAATCACAAATACTAAAATATCGTTGATAGCAATAGTTATTTGAATACTTTTTTCATCTGTACTTAATTATTGACCATAAAAAAATTGGATATCGATCGTCCGAGAAAGCAAAATGGCGGTCAATCAAGATTCAATATACGACTAGCTACTGAAAACAATAAAATCTGCAAATCCTCATTGTATGTCAACCAAGTGAATGTCGTTAGGCACGACTTACAAAATGATCGTCCAGACTTTGAGGGTTTGGCAGATCCGCATCGGTCGACTGGCTGTCGTCATGCTTTCGCTTCTTGTCTGAGGTTACGTATCGTAGCATTGTGAGGATAATGAGGTACATCGATGATGCAAGGTATTAATGTACAGTTGTAAACACCTTTCACTCAAATTAACAAGATGTTCTCAGTAATTAATCCTCGATTAATCAGTGTCAACTCAGTTTATTGCCTATTACAGTGATTGACCGATTGGACTATCATGTAGGTACGATGTATTTTCAGCAATCAAAACAAACAAAGCTTGTCAGTGTAGTTAATCTTCTGTGTTGCAACTGCAGACAGAAACTGCTCAGTCCTAACTGTTGATCATGTCCGGTCAAAATTTAAGAATGTCCGGACAATACTTTTTAAAATGTCCGGTAAGCAATATTTTAAAACGGACATTTGAGATTCCCAATCGGACATGTCCGGCGCATATGACGGTTTCCGGACCCCTGGTCCTCGGTCTGTTGACATCGGCCCAAGACTTGACCCGTCGAGGTCGTCTTCAACTTCGTCCACTGCAGAGATTGCTGTACCCCCACCTGGAGTTTCCCAATCTCCTGGTTCCACTTCCGGTGCAGCTACGTTGTCATTTGGAGTGGTGGCTCCAGCCGTCGAACGTTTGCGAGGGCGTCTTTATGAGCGAGCCTCCGTTCATACTACACCTATTCGTAGACACGTCATTGGAAGGCTGGGGAGCGCACTTCGGGGACGACCAAGCGGCCGGGCGGTGGTTGCCAGTAGAAAAGGTCCTCCACATCAACTACCTCGAGATGGAAGCAGTGATTCGGGCGGTCGAGTTTTGGAAACTTCGACTCCGTCGGAAACGACTGATGATACAGTCGGACAACTCCACAGTCGTCCTCTGCGTCAACAAACAGGGAACAACTCAGTCGGCGGCCCTTCTGGACCGGACATTCAGGTTCTTCGCCCTCGTCGACGACTTGGACATGGGCGTACGCGCCCGTCACATCCCGGGGGCCAAGAATGTGATTGCCGACGCCCTGTCGAGACCATCGAGGCCGTCTCCCACGGAGTGGATGATCCATCCGACAGTCTTTCATCTGCTGACAGATCGACTCTGGTTGCCCCAAGTAGATCTCTTTGCTGCCCCGTACAACAACCGCCTCCCTCGATTCGTGTCGCCGGTTCCAGACCCATGGGCATGGGACCACGACGCTCTAGCGATATCGTGGGGGGTCTAGACGCTTACGCGTTTCCACCAACGGTGCTGTTACCATCGCAACTGGTGAAAGTTCGTCAAACGGCCAACCTACGTCTGCTTTTGGTCGCGCCTTATTGGCCGGCCAGAACATGGTTCCCGGAACTTCTTCAGATCATCGTTCAACCACCGTTCCCGTTGCCAGATCGAGACGACCTCCTTCTTCATCCTCAATAGAGAGACACCGACGACTTGCATCCGGGGATAAAGAACTTCCAGCTTCACGCCTGGGTTTGCTTAAGACCTCGTTAATGAAGAAAGGCTATTCGGCTAAAGCGGCAGCGCTTGTCTCGTCGGCACATCGAGTTACGACTCGTAAGCTGTAAGATGACAAGTGGACCACTTTCTCCATTTTCGCCAGGTCTCATGGCTTCAACCCGGCGGTAGCGACCCCACCACAGGTGGCGGAGTTCCTAGTCTCTCTCCAGTCATCTCGGCGTCTGAAAGGGTCGACGATCTCGACATATCTGGCAGCTTTGGCTTCAGTAGTGCCGTCTCCTACGGGCGACAAGCTCACTACCGTACCGGAGTTGCAGAAGATTCTACGTGCCTTCATGGTTGAAGATCAGTCACGTAAATTCCGACCGCCGGCCTGGGACCTCGATGTCGTTCTGCGCATCCTGTCTAGTCAGGCTTACGAGCCTCTCGATCAGGTCGCGTTCGACTTATTGTCTCAGAAAACGGTTTTTCCTTCTCTCGCTGGCTACGGCTGCGAGAATTACGGAAATACATGCCATTGACGTCGGTCGGATTACGTTCGATCAGCGTAACCATGGCAACGATAACTACGATGGGGATCGTAGTACTTCTACAGTTAGAGATCGTAGCTCTCGTCCCCACGGGGACGTGCGACGTTCTCGCAGGGAGAATTTGGGGGTTCAGCGTCGTAGTGAAGATAGTGACAGAACGACGACCTCGTCTCACTTTCATATCGACCCGGCTTTGATAGCCCAGATCACGGCGGCGGTCCTCGCCTCGACGGCGTCGACCAAGAAGGATACGACTACGTCAGGGGTCCATGGCCCGTCAACTATTCTACGATGGGGATCGTAGTACTTCTACGGTTAGAGATCGTAGCCCTCGTCCCCACGTGTGCAGTTGTACTGTCGCATCGATAATTAGTTGTGTGTCGATGAGCATTACCCATGCTATTTTAGTTACCTTGTCTACGGTGAGTTCTGTAACTAAATTATACGCCGACCACATTTCGATCGCAATTCAACTGACGTGTGCAGTTGTCCTGTCGCTTCGATAATTAGTTGTGAGTCGAAGAGCATTAAACATGCTGTTTTAGTTACCTTGTATACTGCGAGTTGCTCTGTAACTAAACTATTCGTCGACCACACTTCGATCGCAGTTCAACTGACGCGTGCAGTTGGCCTGTCGCATCGATAATTAGTTGTGTGTCGAAGAGCATTAACCATGCTGTGCGTTCATGATAAACAACTTGTCTCGTCCGTGCATCTGGTCGAATGTTCTATTGTCACTACAGGGGTGAGGAACTTGGTACATTCGACGTGAAAGTGGTCACTGCCTGATTACTTTCCCGACCCTCCTTCCAGTGTTCCGTCGAATTCTACCCATTTGTACGACTGAAAACAGACTAAAACATGGGTTTTTCAGATTAAAAACGATGTTTCATTGGTCTGTTTTCAGTCGTACGTTCCCACCCAGCCATCCCCACAGGGAAGTAATCCAGTCCAGTCCTGCTTGATGGCTTATTCTTCGAGATTTGTGACATGTCATAGGGAGGTGCGTGCGCAACCGGACGGAAACAAGTTTAATGTTTACATTCCAGCTTCTGGCTTCCTCTAAACGTGCGACTAGACGTGAGGGTATGAGAGATACCCATTTGTACAACTGAAAACAGACCAATAAAACATCGTTTTTAATCTGAAAAACCCATTTTTGACTTTTGCACTTCGACCATGCTCCTAAAGTTCTTAAAAATGCATTTTTCTCATATTTTAAACATGTTCAAAATGTAATGAATTTTGGTTTATGCTTAATTAGTAATGAGACTCAACACATGTTCTGTTTATTTCAATTATGTTACAATTTGTCCTTGTGTGTTTTCCATACTCTTAAATTCTCTCAAAGAAAGGACTATATTTGTCTAATAAAAACATTAAAAGGTATTGCTCAATTTTTTAATAATACCTTCATATTTCAATGTTATGTGCAGTGACACACCAGGAAATATAACCAGGTCTTACCACAAAGCATTACAATCTCTTTTGCAGGTCTCATTTGAATTTCGATCCCGCCTTCACTCACAGTTGTCCACATTATTTTTTGATGAGGTCGTGAAGACGATGGTGAATGCATTTCTGAAACGGGCCAGGAGAATCTATGGACCTGAATCTATCAAAAGCCAGAAGCCTAAAATAGTGATATACAACTCCTGATGTTGGCTTCGTATAGGTACCGGGGTAATTAGGAAATTGTGAATATTGGATTTTTGTGCGAGCGATGTCAGGATTGATGCAGCCCAGGAGGCTGTAGAGGACGTAACAAATTCCCAAGCATGACGCCGCTCTTCGTACGGAAGTCCTGCAATCTCATTAAAATCAGATCTTAGTTCTCGCTACCGCTAAACAAAGATCTGAAGACATCCCATTTGGGGTCTCGTCAAAATGACCTTTCATCCGATCAATCAGAGCGTCACTTACCAGATTTTGAAAGTGACAGTCGGAATGTGATTTCTAATCATGCAATCTCGAAAACTTTAATAAGGGGTATTCCGAACGTTTGTTACGGGTTTAGCGACTGAATCCTTACAATCCAGAATGTTTTTTTGGTCAGGTTTCAAATTTGTAATCAAGAATTTGTCAAAATATGTTTCAAAGCGTAATCTCCAGTTTGAAATTAGTGGCGTAAAGCACGAGAAAGCTGCCTTCTGATTGGTCATTCCATTGGCCGGTCAAAGTTCGTGCAAGGTCGGTCTGACGTGACCCGTAATGGGATGTCCTCAGATCTTTCTTTAGCGGTAGCGAGAACTAAGGTCTGGTTTTAATGAGATTGGATAGGAAATACTGAGAAGGGGGGACTTGTTCCAGGAACAGCCTGTCCAGTGAACACAGATTTTATTCACCACTTCCGGCCTCGTGTAAGGCACAGCTCCTTTTACTTACATGTTACAAAGTGACCCCCTAAATAATGTCACAAATTTGTATAAATCAACCAAATTCACCAATTGTCATGTTTTTAAGTAGCTCATGATTATGTTGCTTTAGCCTAGAGGTCAACAAGGTCTCCGTCTTCATAACACATCGGTAAAAACTTCCAAATTGAATTATGAATTTTTTATGCAGGCTGTCATAATTATGACTAATGTTTTAGCTTTTCTGAGGTGTATTTCAGTGATGACAGGACATTAGCGAGGAAAGGACTTTTTCGTTTTACATTGTTGCATTGAATGCAATAGTCAAATGCCTCTGAAATTAGGAAAATACTTCCCAGTACAAAATACTATACTCCTAAAAAAAGTCAAAGAACATCCTATTTTCCTATCATGACTTCATGCCATGACATATTAACTATAGTCATATGAAAAATCATGACATATTATCTATAGTCATTTGAAAAAGTTGTGTTTTTTTAACTTTGTTTTGAGAAGTATATTTTCCCAACTCGTTTGCCTTGGGCATAAGTTTGAACTTCTAGAATCTTGATAACTGAAAGTGTATAACCATTTGATCCTCCAGGAATATAGCATCTCTTGACCCAGCATGATGTCCCTCCTCAGGAATCTGACCAGTACTGGACCTTAACAACTGACCAATATTTTAAAGAGGAAAACCCCTTATTTCAGCTATTCTAAAACAGTTGTGTTCCTGTGTTGTTCTGTTATGAAATTATCATTGTATTATTATTTCCTGTGTGTCCTTGTCACCTCTTAGACTATAGCAAGAGAAAGTTGACCAACTTGGCAATTTTGAACATGTTTAGATGATGGCAACCGATTTCCCAAGTTACTTTTTCAGTATTGTGTACCATACCTTTTGGGTGATCTGGGTGCCGTTGTACAACACAACCTTAGCGCTACAACTGTCGTAAGTCTATGTTAAGGTTAGGGTTAGGGTTAGGGAGTTAAGATCACCTTAGGGCTTAGATTGCCTTGTACAACGGCACCCTGATGAGGTTAAGAACTGTCAAGCTACAAGACTTGCATGCACAGGTTTATTTGTTATTGTTATGTACTTGTTGACTTAGAAGAAAAAGGTTAAGAGCAGGTATGCTCTCTTGACCTTTGAAAACTTGTATTTATTTTCTGTGAAACACTTTTTATGTGGCGTGTGCTGTCTGGAGCCCAAAACATTGGGTCATTTAGTGACAAGAAAACCTGGAAACTATAAAGATCCTGTCCTTGAATGACATTTAGAAGTGATACACATAAGAAACAGAATTAATGGATGTCAAGTTCTTTATAATGAGGAACACAACGTTTTGGAGTATATTCTTACTCCTTCATCAGGTTCTTCATAATGAAAAACGTTGTGTTCCTCATAATATAAAAATTGACATCCTTAAATTCTCTTCCTTGTAAGGATCCTGCTTTTCATTGAATGTCAAGCATGTGGCAAACATGGCAAATGTTTGATATCCTCAGTGTGTCTGGAACAGCTGAGAGTCACCTTATCCCTTTTGCTCGTGCATTTATGAAAAATAATTTGACTACTTTGCTGAAGTGAATACAACAAATTGAGCAGACATTTTTGAGAAATCAATATTTTTTGGAAAAGTGAGATAATTTCCAGATGTGCTTTCCCTTTTTCTTGTGTATACATGTATACAAATATATCTATATGAATTTCTTGTTACCATGGTTACTGGTGTTTGCTGGGAATATCCATCTTATAGTTGACGTCACTCACAGTTTGTTGATGTTTTTTTAAATTAATATTGCAAACATGCTGTCTTTTTTTATGATAAATGAATGAAATTCTTGATCCAACGTACCAATCTCTCTGCAATATCAATAGCCACCAAAAAACGTGTAGTGGTAGTTTCAGATTTGATTGAAATTTAAAAGTTGATTTTGAAGGTCATATTTTGAACTACATGAAATTTAATGAACACAACAATGTCACCGCTGAGAAACATTTTAAATGTTTTAAAGTCTTTGCCTGAGAAAAGGTCTAACTAGTTTTTATCCTGATGCTGAGAAAATGAAATCAAGTTTTAAACAGAGTTATTTCCCTTTGTCCAAGTGACGCTGTTACTGTCAGCAACAGGTTGTCAGAACAAGGGGATTTCTGAATTATTCTTGATAGATACTGTGAAGAGTCAATTCTTATGGCTGTGATATGACTATAAGAGGCTTGGGAATAGCTCCTTGTTTTATTGAATGTGTTGTTGAATCTTTGACAGTTTTATGGTGTCATACTTGCCCGTCTACAGTAACCAGTTTTATGGTCGCCAGGTGTTTAGGACGGTTTGTTTGCCTTTATTGATCATATTGATTGATGATGTTCAAGTCAAAGTTACCGAAATGGTTCAATCAACATTTTAGATTCAAGTGATGTAACTTTCAGTTTTTAATGATGAGTGAGTGAATGTTGTTTTACGCCAGTCAGCAATATTCCAGCTATGTCACGGCAGCCTGTTTATGATGAATCCTGGGTCAGGAAGACCAGTGGTTGATGATGATCAACAACGTAGGGGACACATTATCAGCAAGGTGTCTCATTTCAAGATCTGTTATTTGGTCTTTTGGTGGGATCATATGAGTTTGATTTTTAAGATTCTATCGTTGGAAATTCAAATCCAATTCATTTGTGTCCACATGGTCAATAGTCATTATGTATGACAGGAACATTTTGAAAAGTGACATTAATTTGGTCCATTTTAGCATCTGTGCTAAGGGACATGCCGTAAAAGGCGACTATGTTTGTCGTAAAAGGCGACTATGTTTGTCGTAAAAGGAGACTATGTTTGTCGTAAAAGGCGACTATGTTTGTCGTAAAAGGAGACTATGTTTGTCGTAAAAGGCGACTAACGGGATCCGGTGGTCAGACTCGCTGACTTGGTTGATACATGTCATTGATCCCAATTGCGTGGATCAATGCTCATAATGTGAATCACTGGATTGTCTGGTCCATATTCGATTATTTTACAGACCGCTGTCATATAGCTGGAATATTGCTGAGTGCGGCGTTAAACAACAAACAAGCAAGCTAGGACTAATAAAAGGAATTCTGAACAAATACATAAAATTATCCCCCAAATGGTGAAGACTTGAGGTGATGTAGAATGTCCATTAGCATGATTGATAAGATTTGGAGGTTTGTTTACTGACTATGATATATGAATTTTCCTTTGGTTTAACTTTGTATTTAATAATTACAAAATCTCATTAAATGTGTCTTGTGTTGAATCCATGTGAACTGCATCTTCCTGAGGCTAGGGGGTTACCTTAAGTCCAGTTTCCACCCTTGCCAAACTAGGCTGGAATTTCTGGGCTCAATCATAGTGCCACCATTACGAGTAATGTACACATGCTCTGCAATCCTGCAATCGGCCGAGGTCTGCACAGCAGTTTATGAACCAGATGTCAATTTCATTGCAGTTTTGACCTGACTGTGCATAGCATAGACTGGTTAGTCCAGCCAAAATATAACTCCATAATTCCAGCCAAGTTGGGCAAGGTTATAAACTGGACTTAAATAGTCAGTTGACTCCCTTGCCTCGGGAAGATGTAAGAATTGTGATACAGGATATTATATATGTTGGAAGTAAAGACTACACGAGGAAGATGTGTTTTGCCTCTGTTAGGGTACGCCATTGGATGAATCCAGTTGTTCAGTTGAAAAATATGCACGTCCCAAAACTTTGGTTTGTAAAATTTAGCATTCAATAAATTGCATGAATTGTTGCATGTAATGTTGTTTTAAAAAAAAAATGAGTGCATTTCATGTTCTGTTTGTAGCAAAGTCTGCTTTAAGCAAAGTCGATTGTACAATTCCAACTCATCATAAGCATGTGTTTATGAATCACTATCAAATAGGATTCCGGGGTAGAATAGGTCTTCAGCAACCCATGCTTGCTGTAAAAGGTGACTATGCTTGTCGTAAAAGGCGACTACCGGGATCGGGTGATCAGGCTTGCTGACTTGGTTGATGCATGTCATCAATCCCAATTGCGTGGATTGATGCTCATGATATCAATCACTGGATTGGCTGGTCCAGACTCGATGATTTACAGACCACCGTCATATAGCTGGAATATTGCTGAGTGCGGCGTTAAACAACAAACCAACCAACCAACCAACCATCAAATAGTGATGATGACAGGTGTTCGGGAATAGGTGAGTAGATCCTGCCCACCGTTGGCCAGTCACAAAGTCTTGACAATAGTGTGCCACAACAGTGCATTTTGTTGCTCTTGCTATCAACCACTATTTTGTTTTTTGTTTAACGCTGCTCTCAGCAATATTCAAGCTATATGATGGTGGTCTGTAAATTTTTCGAGTTTGGACCAGACAATCCAGTGATTGACATCGTGAGCATCGATCCACACAATCAAGACACGATGACATTCATCAACCAAGTCAGGGTTACTGAAGGCCTATTCTACCCAGGATCTTTCAATCACTGGACAAATAGCTGGAATATTGTCGACTGTCACAAACCAACATCACTCTTCACGTCTCACTTGCACAGCGGGTCCCGGCATCTTGACAACAACATGTGTAATTTGATGTTTTATTCGTACATGATAACAACATGCTAGAAACAGGGACAAGTAGTAGTCTCCACAGACAAGATGACTCACCCAGTAGAGCCGAGAAGATAGTGTTCTACTGTATTAGTATGAAAGAAATATCACCCGCCATCTTCTTTCTCTTTGTTCTGTTTTCCAAGGAAAAATTGTTCGAAAAGAAACATTA